TGATGATAAACATCTCATTCCTCAGCATGAAGAACGCATAAACTATCCGGTTAGTCATCAGCATACTGTGCTACGTGGTGTGTGTGTGCTTATTGCAATGAAATCTTGCACATCTGTAAAGGTGCCAATTAAGTTAAATGTTATGTAGAGGTTCTTAGGCTTCAACCCACACATGCTGTCACTCAGGAAACATGTTCTTCAGGGTGTTTTTTTTTTTTTTTTCAGCAAGACAAACGACATTCTCTGTGTATTACAACAGCAAGGCTCCGCTGGAAGAGCTCAGGGTAAACTGGTCCAGACGTATCTCCTATTATTAAAAAGAAAAGAAAGTGTAAACATTCATAAACCCCAAAACTTTTAAGCAGCACCAAGCATGGAAAATATAAAAATTTATGAAAGCCAATTAAAATATCAAAGGTGTGTAATACTAGTCAATTGTTGGGCTTTTTGCTAAAAATAGTACAATAGCCTGAGTGCAGCTATTTTCTGCAGACAAACGGGGAACAAATGTGATGAGACGCAACATTAAAAAGTTATTTGGACCGTAACCATGGAAACCAACCCCAAACAAGGACAAAGATTGTTGTTCTCCGGAGTGCGGCTTAGCGAGAGTTTGTGGGTTTGAAAACAGAGAGCTGTTGTTTTCTCATGGGATGCTGCAGCAGCTACGGTCCGCAGCACTTCTACTCCCTTGAGATTGTAATTCTTAAAAAAAATAAAATAAAATAAAAACTTTTTTGCCCTACATGGTTTGGATTTTTTGTAGCATTAGTCACAAATTATGTTCTTCCATTAGGTCTGGACTTTTGATTGAAAATAAAACTTTTTTTTTCTTTTCTTTAGTTTCTAAACCCTCCTCTGCTACTCTTGGGTCAAAATGACCCACGAGGCCTCAGGGTTTGCACTGAAGCATTATGGGTCATTTTGACCCGAATAACCAGGAGGATAAATATGTGATACCTGTGTGTAAGATTTTGCTATTCTTGAACGCACCTAATAAATGTTGATCTAAACACAATCGTTTGCACAACTAGACAAGTCGGGTTTTGCTATACGTTGTTTTTTTGATGTACTATTACTCAAATTTACGTTTCCTTTTGAAGTGTTGGTATGTGGAAAGTAAAATATAAGCAGTGTTGCCAAGTTTGCTTATTATAAGCAAATTTGGGCTTGTTTGTTTTTAAAGTCGCTTGCAGAGTCGCGGGTTATGTTTTTTTTTTTTGGCTTGTTTTTGAACGTGAAGTTTCTTATTTGGGCTTGACTTTCTTTCCGAGTGAAACTTGATTATCTCCCAGCTCCGCACAATAAAGCAAAAGACGAGTGGTAGTAGGTAGTTTGTCCCTTCCACACCCCCGTTTCCCGTTTATCCCTCCCGCCGCCCAAGTTGGCGAGGCGAAAGGCGCACACCCAAACCAACGCTCATTCTGTGGCTGACCACTAGGGGGCCCCAATCACACGCAGATGTCAAGATGTTTTTTTTTCTAAAAATATGTAGAAAAAATTATTTTTGTCGCTTACCGTTATTCCATTGTTCAGTTACTCTGTGATCTCAGTTGGAGTTGAGTAAACGAGGTGATCGAACTTAGCTCCTGTGTCGTCATTCACAATACCAGCCAGCCAGAGCCCAGAGTGACGAGACCACGGCATGTGTGTCTTTGCATTCAAACGGTTTAAATAGTTTTTTTTTTGTTGACTGTGTTTACGATGAGTTTGCTGTTACATATGCAAAATGTGGTGTTTTATTATTATTATTATTTTTTATCAGAGCTTAAAAGTATATTATTCAAAGTGTTAGCACAATTTTGCTGTTATGTGTATTGTCATAATACATGTATGTTTAAAAACGGCCTCTGTTTTACACAATGTGGCGGGTTGCCAGTTGGGCTTTTTTTGGGCTCGTTTTCGTAGAGCTGGTTGCTTGTTTCTATCGTGAGATCTGGCAACACTGCATACAAGTACAAGAGCTATGGATATAATTTGAAGACATAAATATATCTTCATACTGCCAATTGTGAACAGATTTCCAAGCATGCAAACCGCCTGTCACTTGACATCATACTGATTTTTAGAAAGTAAGGAGGTTCGATGTGAGATGAACTGAGATGTTTAAAGTGTTTTTTCCTCGTTGTGTGGGCATAAGCAGTTTCAGAGATTCGCATAAAAACAAACACTTGTCGCTACGTTTTATACTAGAGGATCCTGTTTGACGTCACACGTTCCCATCGCAGCACAATAAAAGGCGTCACAAAAATGCACAAGGTTTGGAATTTGTCCGCCCCGTTTTCTCCCCACATCCAGTCATCAGAAGGCCAGAGGCACATTCCTCAGCCTTGTTACCACTGACATGTTGCAGTTTTGTGCGAGGGTGAAGGCTCTTTTGAAGCCGGGTCAAGAAAGCTGTTTGAGTTTACAACAGCAGCCTAATTTTGAGGATAAAAAGTAAATATTTCTGAAGACCAGGGCTTCGTGTTTCTCCTTAATTTTGTCCAGCTGAAGATGTCCATGGGAGGGGAGCTGTGGTGAAATGTTTCAAACCTGGTCTTCAGCAGATATGGCTCTGTCCAGTTCGGCTGAAACACAACCACAGTTTGTTTATAGCAGTGTGATGCTAACGACACTGTGAAAGTGAGTGTCTCAGCGTTTACTGTTGAGGCTTGTTGCCCGACTGACTGATGGTTTGATGGCAGGAGCAGACGACCTGTTGACTCACACTGTGGCTTTTCTTTGATGGGTGTGGGGGCAGATTTTACTCTTAGATGCCAAATGAAGACACAGATGGCCTAATGTGATGAGTGTGAGTCACTGAGGGTCAGACATGTTTTCTCAGATGTTTTCCCACAACCCCTGTAAACCAAGAAGGCATCATACATCAGCAGGCTGTTTAGTCTGTTGTTCCTGCAGGTCACTGGATGAGCACGCGTACACCGAAATAGTCGTAATCTTTGGTTTTCTCCCCAGCGCACATCACACTACACATGTGGTGCTCCTCCTAGAAGTTGACTTTTTGTAGAAGTCAAACCGCACCATCTTTGAGGGAGAAAATACAGAAATGGTAACACATGTGATGTATGTCAAAGCATGACATCACGTGATGTTGGTCTCATCACTGTTTTATTACCCCGACTGTCCTCACGCAGATCATGTGGTTCTGACCAGGAACACAATAGAGTTTTACCACAACGTATCGTCAGTCTGCTTTCGCATCATACGTCACACAGTGTTCATCCTTTTGAATTCCGTGCCATCTGAGTCACTCATCGGTGCGTTTCTTTCAGTAATTAGCCTGCTCTCGCATTGGTATCTACTCACTGTGTAGCTATGCAAGTCAGCAATTTAATATCTGTTTAGTGCGGGGGTCTGCAACCTGCAGCTCTGGAGCCACATGTTGCTCTTTGGTCCCTCTGCAGCGGCTCCAACTTTTGACCAAAACTAACATAAAACAAGTTTATTGGTTGCTGTACCCACAAGAAATGGCTAGTTTTAGTAGTTTTCCTGTAATTGATTTTGTCAGTATGTGAGTGATGTACACAAGGAGCAGTGGTGTAGTCTACGTGATACGCCGGTATACAGAGTATACCCACTAGAAAAGTTTAAGAATTTCAGTATAACCACTTAAAAGTGCCCAATGATAAATAACATATAATTAGGCATGTGTCAATGATGCGTTAAACGGCAGTTAAATGCTTTCGTAACAATTTTATCTGTATGCAGCGCTCGTTTATTACACTTGCTTATCCAGCGAATTATCGTATAATTATGTACTTACTACTTAGTACTTGAACATGTTTTGCTTTGATACCGTTTTATAAATTCTGTAACGTGTTTTTAATACAAAGCCAACTGTTGTACAAAGTTTGTTGTACATTTATTCAAATATAAGCATTAGAGAAATTTGGAAATGCTCAATATGCTTAAAAATCAAAATAAATTGATTAAATTGCACTAACTGGTGTACTTTGGTTTCTAAGCGCAGTATACTCATCACAAAAATGAAGACTTCACCACTGACGACGAGTAAAACTTGTTGACTACGTGCTAGTAGTTTGTTAGCCACTTCTTTTAGCTCACTTCCAGTCATCTCTTTTCTCAAATTCACCAAATTTTTGGGAGGAAATGCCTTTCAGGCAAGGTGCTGAGAAGAAATATGGTGAAACTTGATAACAAAAAAAAAAATGAAAGAAAAAAACAAATTTGAAGCATTTATTTTCGTTTTAAAATTCAATCATATATCCAACAATCTGGCCTAATTCTTAACTTTATGCTTTATTACTTAATAATAAGATACTTTATGAATTGTTTCCACAATTAAAAAGGAAACTCTCATAAGCTTGCACACTTGTTCAAATTTTTATAAAATTGGTAAAAAAAAAATAAAAAAAACATTTTTTCTTCTTTACATAAATCCAGTCTTTTTTCTTTTGCCCTAAAATGTAAAAATATCAATAAATATGAATAATAATTTGATATTTTAGTTTCATAATATTACACTTACTGTCTGGAAAAGCCTCCTCCAACAGGCTTGAAATGGCCCATGGGCCACCAGTTGATAATCACAGTTTTAGCAGGTTTTGTGGCTCCAGACATTTTATTTAGTGCACGAAGGAGCAGAAATGGCTGTTTTGATCATAAAGGTTGCAGACCCCTGGTTTAGTGGCTTTCTGTGGTTTTTTTTTTTTACAGCTGGAAAGTAGCTCAGTATTTTTTATTGAGCAAGTTATCAAAATTGATTATTTCTTGTTGGATTTTCTACTGGAAAGTTCATTTGATGTTCACGTTTTTAAGCAGTTAATTTGGCACAAATATCTTTCACATCCATGTAATTCCACAACTTACACCTTAATGTCTTCTGTAGAATTTTTATTAAAAAGGAAGAATAGTCCTAATCTGGTTTGAATTAGATTTTTAACCTGGAAAAAAAAAGTAAAATACAAGGATTTTGTACAAAAGATCTGCGTTGCTTCTATTTGTTGGGTTTAATGTTCTGTTTTTTTGTCTTGTAGGCCAGCAACAAAGAGACTGGTGTTTTGGCTGCAGCCAAAGTGATCGAGACAAAATGTGAAGAGGAGCTGGAGGACTACATAGTGGAAATCGACATCCTGGCTAAATGCAACCATCCCTACATCGTCAAGCTGCTCGACGCGTTTTATTACGAACACAAACTCTGGGTAGGTAACGCAGTTCAGACGTTTGTTCAAAAGTGCTTGGAATGTTTTACTTTTAATCTGACAGCATTGTTATTACATCTGCACTTTTTCTCAAATATGTTTCTTTGTAAAGATAAGAGAAGAAGATAGACTAAATGAGAAATGACAGCAGGTCCCCAGGGTGACGTAACATTTCAGAAATGACCTCATCCTCAGTCTGATGTTGCTCCAACAAAGAGGATCAATTTCATATCACTGCTGTTTTCTGCTCTCGAGTTATTTTCTGTCTCCACATTTGCACCCGGAGTCGAGAGTAAATAATTCAGCTCCCTCTGTAATCTTCCATTCTCTGGCCAAGACAAATATTGGTGACCTCATGCTGGGACCCAGCCTCGAATATCTGAAGAAGTACAGCCAGCGTTCAGTCTAAAGATAGTTATGCCGAGTTATTTTATTCTTTTTTAACTCTTTTCCTTTAATGGACAATTTCCAGATGGGAAAGATGCTTGTTTGCCTCATCCAACTAATCAGACACAAATTGTGAAAGCCCAGTTTTACCTTCACCTGTTATATTTTATGGTAAATGGACTGTACTTGTACAGTGCCTTTCTACTTTGTATCTTATCAAGACACTCAAAGCACATTACACTACAATCTGTGTCCTCATTTACCCATTCATACAGCACTTTACTAGATCTCTACAAAGCTAATTGAACAAATCATTCTAAAGAGACCAATCAGTGCTTTAGATCGTGTTAATACACTTATGGGACACATCAGATGCAATCAGGGGTTCAGTGTCTTGTCCAGGAACACTTCAGCATGTGACTGCTGGTGAATTCGAACCCCCAACTCTTGCATTGGAGGATGACTGTTCAATTCAGTTTATTTATATAGCGCCAAGTCACAACAGAAGTCGTCTCAGGGCACTGAACAGAAACATTCATATACTTAAAAATTCATTTAGTAACATTATTTATCTAAGGAGCAGACTGCTTTGATCGCAGACTCTCATCCTGAGCACGGCAACAGTGGAAAGGGAAAATCTCCCTCATGAGGAAGAAACTTTTAGCAGAACCAGGCTCGGGCCAATCTGCTTCGACCGGCTGGGTTTGAGAGGAACAGGAAGGAGGAACAGATACACAATGGCAGGTCGAGAATCATATGTTAAGATAGAATTAATATCAAATGAAAAGTATTCCATTGTAACAATTCATTTTAAGAAATGTGGTCAATTTGTGTTCCAGTAGTCTAATCCTATAGCAGAATAACAAACCAATACTAACTATAGGTCAGGGCTATTTAACTGGCGGCCCAGGGGCCAAATCAGGGCCACAGGTGTGCTCAGTTTGCACCACCAATGGGTTCATTTTAAAATAAAACTAGATTTTAAATCATAAAACAAACTTACTTAATGACAATAACGACTGGATGTTCAGCCCCTGAGCTCTTGGCTTTCAGTAACTGTGGCTCTTGAGTGATTTAGTTGAATAGCCCTGCTATAGGATTTATCAAAAAGGAAAGTCTTAATCCCAGTCTTAAAACTGGACAATGTGTCAGCCTCACAGACAGAAACTGGAAATTGGTTCCACAAGAGAGGAGCCTGATAACTGAAAGGTCTTCGTCCCATTCTGCTCTTGGAAACTCTAGGAACCACAAGTAAGCCTGCAGCCTGAGAGCGAAGTGCTCTGGAACAATAAGATATGTAGCATAAGATGGAGCTAGGTTGTTGAGGGCTTTGTAAGATTTTGATGTCAATTCTGAATTTGACAGGGAGCCAATGGAGAGAAATTAAAACCGAAATTTTAATTTAAATGAAGTTCAAAGGCACTAAAAATTGGATACAGCCTGAGTTCGGTACAGAAAAGATGAAACCTTTTAAGGCAAGACGGTGATCTATCTTTATATTGTTGTGACAAGTCAAAAAGTAAAATGGTCTGAATGTTTGTTTGTTTTTTTTCATTCAAAAACATTTGGAACCACGTACGTTTTAGCTTTTGGTAAGCTCGATGATGCAATAGTTTAAAACGCATCAACTTTTGTGGCACGTTTACCAAGTGAACTACAAATGAATTGTGAGAGCAAAACAAGATTCACACCTTTTCCTTAACGTTTCCTGTTGGTGACCTGTTTTTTTTTTTGTTTTTTTTTCAAAGCGCTGCAGTTTATAGTGTTTGATCTTCATGAAGACGAACTCATATCCTGTAATTGCTGTACAAGATGCTATATTGTCAGAGTTTAATGGGCTAATAATTCCAATTAATAGTTCAGCAGAAAACATGTCAGATTAAGAGTTCAGTAGTTTTGGGTGTCAAACACGGATCACGTTTCTTCTAAACATTACTCGGGGTCCTCCTCAGCATACAGCTGTTTCACGGTCTCACAAACTGGCCACAGCTGTGTTGGCCATAGTTGGAATTCCTGAATGTAAAACATGAACCTTCCCCTTCAGACTGAGGTAGACACCCGTACTTGATGCTGATGAATCGGATGTACAAACACCCCCACTTGTTCCATTTAAACCACACACTTCCTGTGTCTGCTTCATATTTGCAGCTTTTACTGACGAGTCTCAGCTCTAAGTTCTATTCAGAAACCAATCCATACCTTCTTTAAAAACGTATACAAAAACAAAATCTCCAAATCTTGGCAACTCTTTGCTAATACTGCATGTGCTGGCCTCAGAATTTTAACACTTGGCTAAGTTGTTAGTGATAAGGCCTCGGTAACCTCCAGATGGGTGGACCAGCCAATGTGGGCCCACCCGTTCTGCTTTCTACTCAACATGAGAGAGTTTACAGGAAGAAAGAGGAGGGAAATAGCCGTTTGTTTCACTGCAGAGACGACTCTGGACTTGAGACGAGCAAAACACGTTGAGAAAAAGGGGCCTTTAACACGATGGTGACCGCAGCACGCTCAGAGGAAAGAACAGAGAGAGATGCAGATGATAGTTTACACGGAGGAACAGCAGCGCATTAAATTGAAAGCACCTCATTTAGTGTTGCTACAGTTTATTTTAAAACAAAGTTTCATCCTGAAATGTTGCAATCCTAAGCCATATAGTTCATGTAAAAACGAGCTACAGGTACTTATACATAGTTTAGTTAAAATCAAATACTAATAATTGCATTAATTTAAATAATGATATGTATGACAGTACAAACAAACATATTGTTGCCTATTTGACGACCTTAAAAAGCTTGAATCCAAGCCGGTGTATTGTTGGCAAACATGACAAATGAACTTTCAGACGTGTTTATGTTCAGACCCTTAAGACCAGCTGATTGGAGCATTTTAACACTAGAAATAAGCCAATCACTGTGGCTCTAATGTTCTGGTTTTAAGCTGAGCTGGTGCATTTTTTTTAGTTTGAATTTTTCGAGGTGGGCTTTTGTTGGGGAATAGCTCGACTCTTCCCTTTTGTTCCTCCTGAGAAAATGAGGAGGTAAACCACTGAAACGAAGTGGTAAAACGGTGGATCACTGTAGAGTCGGCAACGTTTTGCTCCATTTATTTGAAAGCTTGTAAGGTTATGCAAGCTCTGATTTGTCCTTGATTTAAAGGAACAAAAAGAGACGCAAGTATTTTAAATCAAAAGAAATGACATGCACTAATACTTCATGTTTGACTGATCTATGAAGTGTTAGGAGCAGGAGTTTTTGCTACTTTTTCAGGTTTTCCTTTATGTCCCAATGAGAGATTTGGGCTGCATGCATGTTCCACCCACAGTGGGTATGCTTTACATGCAGTTTGACCAGTTGGAGCACATTCTGGACCACAGCCCAACACGCCAGCCAGGATTCCTTCAGGCGCACTAAACAATTGCTACAGAAGCAATGACACCAAAATATTGTGTTTGGTTGGTGGTGATCAGGAACAAGGAAGTGGTGCACAAAGTTGTAAATGTTCTCCATAGGTAATGAAATGCGATTTAAGGATATAATTTGAAACTTCGAATTTTTAAGTGTTAAAATGACCTTTTTTTAAATGCGTGGTACATTTTTCGGTTCACGTCAGTTTTTGGGAAAAATCAATAATAACGGCTGAGATTAAAGCTCCGAAGTAGAACATTTAAAAATAGATAAAATCAAACCACGTTCACGTAATACTCTTTGTCTTAAAGCTGCGATATGAAACCTTCCTTCAACCAGACCATACCGAAGTGAAACATCCTTGTAAACGCATGATTAACGCTAAGCTAATAAACTTCACAGAAGACGTTGTTCTGCTTGTTTTATGCCAAGACGGATGTTTTTTTTTTGTCATTTTGTTTTCCTCACAAAGTCGGTATGTCTTTTTCACGTGCACCTTCTGTGTTTATAACTGGCTTGACGGAAATGCCACTCCTTATCTGCTGCCAGACTGATGCTTTAACAACATTGTCATAGTAAGCTGGGATTGACTAATCCTACAAGACTGAGATAATAAAAAAGGGTATGTTTCACAACACCTGATGCAGATTTATGGCAAAGTGAGAGTATTGAAATTAAACTGTCGGCATCAGTTCAATAAGTGTTGTCAGAATAATTCCAAGTTCAGACACTGACTGTTATGCACGAGCATATGTAGTTGTATAAATAAAAAATTAAACAGCTTAATAAATAAAGTCAGAATTGTTTAATACTTGTGCATTTTGGATAGCTTTACTTAGCAAAAGGTTAACATTCATTACTGGGTGCTGCTATTGGCATAGGAGAGACCATTTAGAGATGCTAAATTAGTGATGACATCACATATTACACAAATAGATAAACTGTGATTATGAGAATTATTTTAGGGTTTATACACTTGTGTTCTAAATTACAAGTATTCATTTTCTAGTTCTTATTTTCCACCAAGTCTTTATTGTTAAACTTTTAATGTTCTCAATCACCTCTTTTCTCTTTCAGATCATGATTGAGTTCTGCGCTGGAGGTGCTATGGATGCCAACATGCTAGGTAGACCCTCCTCTCTTTTTGACGTAGCTTTTATTTGTGATTTTAAAGTTCCACCTTTTTGCACCTTTTGTAGGGCATGGATTTTTTTTTTTTTTTTTTTTAGAGTTGTAGAAATATGCGAGAAGCAGTTCTACACAATGTACACGACAAATATTTGTGAAAGTAGTTTTATGCATCCCATCAGTAATGGTGTCGTGCATCTTTCCCAGTCTCGAACTGAATACCTTGATAAAGTCAGACTAGTTGGAGTCTTTGGGTGTGGGAAACCTTCTTGGTCTGTTTTCACTGGATAATCCACCTCCTCATTTGTGCCTGTGCCCCTCTGCAGCTAACCAAACACAGACGGAGTAGAATAAAGTCTGTGGGCTGGGTCCATTTTAGGTTTTTCTAATCTGGGATTATTTGTCCAGCAGCCCTATCTGCGCAAACATTACAAGTTTACCTTGTGAGGTTTCTTTAACGGCATTCACATCGTAGTTCAGTTCTCTGAACTTTGTTTTTCTATGTGTGCAGGCTGAATAATGCATTATTTAGTGTTAGTCTGGGATTTTCAGCCTTTATTTCCAGTTTTCTCTTTATTCCACTCCTGTTCATGCTGCTAATTTTTGCTCAACACTGAACCCCTCCATCTCACTCCATTTGCTCCTATCAGAGTTGGATCGAGGGCTGACAGAGCAACAGATTAGAGTGGTTTGCCGGCAGATGCTGGAGGCTCTGGTTTACCTCCACAACCAAAAGATCATTCACAGAGACCTGAAGGCCGGAAACATCCTCCTCACGCTGGATGGAGATATAAAACTGGGTAAGGGTTGGATTTCACATGCTTTTAATGTTCTATTTTGTGAATTTCTAGTGGTTAATTTAATGGCCGTGGGATATTTAGGTGCTGCGTTGGATCTACGCCACAGGAAAAACGCTTTGCTGTATAGTTTGATGTGAAACTATAAAATGCATATATATAAAAAATAAAGGTTCCAGATAAAACTTATGTTTATAAAGTGACGTTTATGACATGCAGGTTTAGTGGTTCTCCCTGTTAAGCTGAATAGGTTTTAGCGACTGAACTATTACTTTATGTACAAAATTATCCAGGCGACATAGAAGGTATGCTAAAATGATTGCAATCTTCATAGAATCAGACTAGATGTCAAAGAATGTTTTTGTGCTCCAATTCTCTGCATGTCTCTTCTTCAAAAACGAAACCAAAAAGGCAATAAATGTCCCAAAATTCCAATTAAGTTTAGCTTTGATTTGGACATAATGTTTAAAAGGGGAAATGGTACGTCCGCTGTAAAATTTTCCAAGTGGAATGACTTCTCTGATAAATCCCATCCCTCAGTATCACGGTGAAGGTCATCGACAAAGTGTGTGCATGTGCAGCATGCCTTTGCGGGAGATCCTGCAGGTCTGTCGGTGGTTCATAATCGAGCATTGTGTGGCAAAACGGCATCCTGAGAATGTTGCATATTTTCTTTCTATTGACTTTTTGAAGAACTCGCCACATTCTTAACATTGCGCAGCTAAGGTTATGAACCCAACCCAAAGGTTAGTGTATTTTGATTAAAGTGCAGCTTTCGAGAACAGAGGGGGAAAAAAAAAAGTTCTGATGTTCATGTCTGTTCAGGAAGTTAGCCAATTTTGGGATCCTCAAACGGAAACTATACTAAGCTTTTTGTACTAAAGTGTTACTCTGTTTAGCTATAAGTTAAACGTAAAAGATGCACAAGAGTTTTAAATACACCTGTTTTTTTTCCTTGTGGATTGCACATCAAATTAATCTTGTCAGTTACTCTGAAATCCCTGAGGTGGGCTCTGGCTTCCTGTTGAGAATCTTTACTGCCCAACATTCCTTCTTGGCACACCACAGTTGGATATAATCACTGGGAGTTGCCTCTCTAAAGTCATTATGTCAAAACACGGGCTCATTTACAGTCTCCTAACTTATACAACTACACGTTAATTCAAACTAAGTGGCGATTTAGCCTCTGTAAGTTCAGCTGAGTGCATTAAAAATACTGGTGGTATTCATCACAATCGTGTTTAAGGAACCCTTGGTGACAACTAATTCCCAGTTTTGTCTTGACAAATTGAACAGTTTAGGGTTTGCATATACCTGTATACATACTGGTAGTTTTGGCTGCACAGCAGACTGATGGAGTCAGCCTCCCCACCATCACAGACATCTATACTTCCAGATGCAGGAAGAGAGCCACCTGCATCATGAAGGACCCCACTCACCCAGCACACACACTTTTTGCCCCACTCCTCTCAGGCAGGAAGTTGAGGAGTAGCTTCTACCCTGAAACTGTTAGACTCTTAAATCCCTAACCAGGAAAGTCACTGCAAGTGGGAAAAAAAAAAAAAAAAATGCTTATGCAACTTTGATTGTTTATGTGCTGCTGATTATCCATGCTGCTGATCTCATGCTGCTGATTATTTCATGCTGCTGTATTCATTCATTCGTACTCATCCACCCACACAGACGCATGTTTGCTGCTGTTCGATGTATTGTTTTGCACCATTAGTGTTTAGTGTATATCTTAGATCTTTTAGTGTACTGTTTAGCATTCGTTTAACATATAGCTTAGTTTATATCTTAGATCCTTATTTACTGTTTTTTTTTTTACACTTTATATTTTTGCTATTTTTGGATGTAACTGGGACCCTGTGTACAAAATTTTGTTCCACCTCATGTACCACATGTGATGCAAATGACAATAAAGAACCTTGACCTTAGAGCAGAGGCTTAGTAAGCTGCAACGACAGTCATCAAACAAAGATGAGCATGTTTACGGTAATTTTTATTATAATCGCTACATTTTACCAGTTACAAAAATATATATAAAATAACTGTTCGATAGCTATGGTATATTAGTTCTTGGCTTTTTTTTTCAAGTTTCTTGTTAAAACGCTGGCTGATATGCATTCATTTAGTTCCATCTGTTGTTTAGTTTAGTTCATTATTTTTTGAATTTGTAAAAAAATAAATAAATAAATAAAAATACAGCATGAAGCATAATGTCAAAACGTTTTGTTTTACATATTCAAGGGAGTGGGTAGAAGTATAAACTTATCAAAATTCCCACTCCTTAACCACTTGCATAATCTTACATTCATTACATGTATAATCCATACATACAGTATAACAACTAAACTATTTATCCCATCAATATAGTATCTAAGTTAACTATAGTAGATGAACAATTATTATTCCTTTAACTTCACAAAAAAAACAAAAGCATCAATAAAAAATAACAAAAAACCCCAACAATAATTGAAAAAATATTATTATATATTATATCCAGCAAAAATCATATTTTATATGATAATTTGAACAGTTTTATGTTTCAATATTCAAATTATTCCACTGTTTGACTACACTTACTGATACACAAGTTATTTCTAGTAGTTGTGCCACTGTATGAAGAAAAATGTAAATGTGATCACAATGGTTCTTCCTAAAACACTGTGCTGGTTAAGTTATATGAGTAAGATGAAATAATAATATATTGGGTGGGTTAATGTGTTCAGCCAGGACTGCTATAAATAATAATTCTTATGTAATTCTTCACCGCTCATAATTTTGCAACGGCATCACTAAACATGTTTCTACAATAATTTCAAGTGTTTAAACTAAATGTTTCTCTTTTTTTACAGCTGATTTTGGTGTATCTGCAAAGAATAACAAAACCCTACAAAGAAGAGATACTTTTATTGGAACGCCATACTGGTGAGTTAGACGACTCATTTAATAACCTAAATAGTCTAAAAACGAATATGATGCTTTAATGCTAAACACTGTAAATGCAGTAATATTATTTATCGTAAATGTACTACCTCCTAATTTTAACTTATTTCCTCAGTAAACAAAATTTAATTCTTATCTACAAAAAAAAAAAAAAAAACTTAAAGAACTTTGTAATAATCCATAAAAATAACTCTAACTGTATTGTTTCAATCATCCCTTTTTTGCGGTTTAAAAATCACATTTGTTTAATTGTCAGCACTTTTTGCGTACCTAAAGAACAAGATGTATTTGCGTAGACTCAGTCAAGCACCTTGAGTCAGTTTTAATCCTCCTTTATTACTGCAGTGCAGTTTGTGATACTTGAATAAACTGAAAATATTTCTGGGTCATAAAGTAACTATGGCAGAAGCTAGTTTAACATTAAATAAAATGGGTCATCCATCAGTAATTAAGTGTTTTTTGTTTCTTTACATTTTTATTTTTGGGGTTAAAATTATTTGTCACACACAATATTTACTTATGAATGCACATAATAATATAACAAATAGGTCATTATTTTTAATGAATTATGCACTAATATTTTCATACCTACATAATTTAATGTTTGTTTTTGCTTGTCCTAGGATGGCTCCAGAGGTGGTGATGTGTGAGACGACCAAGGACGCCCCGTATGATTACAAGGCTGACATCTGGTCTCTAGGAATCACTCTGATCGAGCTTGCACAGATCGAACCCCCACACCATGAGCTCAACCCCATGAGGGTCCTTCTGAAGATTGCGAAGTCTGAACCTCCCACCCTGGAGCAGCCACACAAATGGTGAGGATTCCACATGTTGCATGTTGAAAACTCCCAAGATAAGTAAAGAAAGGCTGAATTAATTGGTTACAACATGCACTATGACATCATTCTTTGCACACTTGGCGTATGACACAATATTCTAGTCATGCCATGTGTGAGCTTGTTTTCACCTGCAAGCTTTATTTAAAAAAAATTGTTCCCCAGAAGTGCGGCAACAACTTGGCAAGGAGGCAGAACTTGACCAAGTGCCAAACTGTAACTCTTCCTATCAAGTTTATGAGTCCTAATGTTCCATTGGAGAAAATTTATCGCTGCAAAAGCAAAGTTATAAGGCATTGCTGATTCATCATTCCTGCTGGAAGTGATGGTTTCATAAAACACAGATGTGCACAGAGATGATCATGTGGCAACATCCCATATTATTACTATCAGCTTTTTTTTTTGTATCCCTTCCTTCTTTTGACACTCCATTTTATTTTATTTTTTGTGTGTGAACAAGTTGTGTCCCATGTTTTCTCAAGGTCCAAGGACTTTAACAACTTCTTGAAGAAAGCTTTGGACAGAAACACAGAGACTCGTCCAACTGCAGCACAACTCTTGGAGGTAAGACCTGATTTGAGCACTTATGATCTAGAGGTTATCTTCATGACAAAGTGTCTTTTGAAGGTGGGGTGTAATCTAGTTTAAATCCTGAATGCGATGACTCGTGCTAGGGAAAAGACTGGCTTAAGGTTTTGGGTCCACGTGATGAGCTGTGATGCAAAGTTGTTGCACACTTTGACACTTGAGTCCAATAAGTGATAACTTGATTTTAATGACAGAAACAAAAGGTTTACAGACTTTCTCACCAGGAATATTACCCTGTTTTGTGTTCTTGTGATCTTGGAGTCATTAACTATACAAAGGTGGTAACTTTGAATTTCCATACACAAAATTTAGAAAAACCAGCTTACTTTTTTCCTCTTCGGTTGTTGGTTTGACTCTCATTGGTCTTCTACAGTCTGTCTGTTCATAAATATTGTGCAACGAATGTCAAGGTTGGGAGAAATTGGCAAATCCTTTAATACAGATACAGATCTGTAAAGCACACGGGCGTTACTGGACAGTGAAGTAAATGTTGAAGCATACATTCTGCATTGCACTCCAACCTTTTGACCAGAAAGCTTGGCTGCTAAGAAAACTGCTTCTTTGTTTGGGGTTGTCAAAGACTGGTGTAAATATGTTGCAAAGTTATTTAGTTGTACTCCAGAACGAATGATTATCTACAAACGAGGCATTTCAGGTCGTTATGAGCCTCAGGAAACCTGGAAAGAAAATGGTGCTCCACTAACGTTCAAGAATTTAATTTATCTTGGAGGGCTAGCCTGCTAACTTATTAAAAAAACTTTGCGTAAAGCTAGACCTTTATATTATTAATCTTCAATTGATGAGAATAAAAATAACCACAGGTTCATTTTCAGTACCATAGCTAGTCTAATGAAAAATCCCATCTCTGTTGAACCATGTACCCTTACAACTATAAGCAGTGATGAGTTCACGAGATTCTTTATAAATAAAATTATTTCAATTAGGAGAAAACATTCAAACCAACCTTTGTGATTCTCGACCTGCCATTGTGTATCTGTTCCTCCTTCCTGTTCCTCTCATTCCCAGCTGTTTGAAGCAGATGACCGCTTGTCCTGAGCCTGTTTCTGCTAAAGGTTTCTTCCTCATGAGGGAGTTTTTCCTTTCCACTGTCGCCTTCATTTTTGCTCAAGATGAGTCTGTGATGAAGTTAAACTCAAAGCAGTCTGTGCCTCAGATATATAATGGTAACTTATTTTTATATATGGATGTTTCAGTGCCTTGAGACGACTTCTGTTGTGACTTGGCGCTACATAGATGAACTGAACTGAATTGAAATTGAATTTCTGTTGAGTAGAATAATCTATTATTGTGTTGCCTTTGGTTTTTTTTAACTTTGCTGACTATCAAAAAATATATATATAACGCACTTAAGGAAAGGAGGGAATAAACGAAAAAGTAAAAAAAAAATTGGAATGTTTGAGAGAGAAAAAGCTAAAGTCTCAGATCTATAAAATTGTGAAAAATCAAGACTCTTTTTCTGTTTTGAAAAAAAAAAAAAAAAAAAAAATTGTTGCTCAAGAACATAGATTAAACTCTGATAATTTCCTTAGTAGTCATTATCCCCTCAACAAACTTCTAAAACCAGGCCAGCGGCAATGCTGGGGAAAGGGAAACTCAAATGTTTCCAAGCAAGTGCCAAAATAGTCCACTGCAAGTTTTTATTTTTAGGAATGCTAATGTTTCAGCAATGTAGAAGTGCAATGATCTTGAGTCAGGAAAAAAAAAATAGAGAAGCAGTAAACTGGGTGTGGATTATAGAATGAGTAGCATCTATTAAAACTCAGAGGCACAGTTTCCTGTCTGTATCCCACAGCTGAGGGAACGCCAGTTATTTACATTCCAACTCTCAGCCAATAGTATGCTGCGACCACCCTCAGCACGCGACTGTCAGAAATGAAAATCATTCCCGAACCTGCTGAAAGGGGGTTAAAGGGGAGAGAAATGGGCGCGGTTTGTTTTTTGGTGCTGTTTGGGAAGTTTGAGATGTTTATCATGCCTGCTGCCCCCAATGCTTGCAGATACTTGTGCAAACAAAGCCATTTAATCTGCTTTGCAGTGATTATTGGATGTTTGCAAACTGTAAATAAGTTACCGGTATTACCAATGTAGTGCATCGTCTGCATAACGGGTTTTTCATTGTCATTATCGTCACAGTCTCCCAAAATGAGCAAGCACAAGGCAACTGTGGAAAGGAAAAACTCCCTCACAACACAAATAAACCTCCAGCAGAATCATTTGTTTTATCATATATATTCAGAATTTTGAGTAAATTAAACTGTTTTTCTCAGAGCCTCACCCAAACCAAGTTTTAAACAAAAATGTTCAAACCTAAAAACAAGTTTAACCTCTGACCCACCACTGAATAATGCAATGACTGACCACTTAGTCAGAAATGAGTCTTGCCAATAAGCTTCCTGCTCTTACAACATGCTGGACCACATTGTTTACATAAAAAAAATAAAAAAAAAATTAAAAAAAATTACACAATCCATGACAAATATTCAGTCCTTTTGACTCTAATTAAAACACTGTGAAACAAACATAATAAAAGTAGGCTGCAACGATCCACACCTTGACTTATTGTTAAGAAAAGCAAACATGCTTAGATTTAATTAAAGCCGTTTCTTGTAAGTAAACCTTTTTTTTTTTTTTTTTGTTAACTAGGAGAAAACAGTATTTTTTTTCTTGTGTTAAACAAAAGACTGAACTCTTGTTTTAGTTCCTGCTGCAGCCAGACTGCAGTGGCAGAACTGTAGGAGAAAATGGAATTTACAGATTGTACAGAGAGCAGGGAGGGGGCGGCAATAATTTGAACTGATTGCTACGTTTTTAAAGCCTTCACATCAGTGCGCTGTAATTGGCCGGTCTCTACGGGCTCAAAATGTGCCGAATGCAGCAAAAGAATCCAAGCATAGGATTGGGATGATAAACGCATCATCACCCATACACCAAGTGGGTCAGAAGACACGATTGGGGAAAATACTTTGTGTTGCTTCTTAAGTTAGTCGGTCATGAATGATTGTTGTTTTCACAGTAAAAGAAAACTATAATGTTCGTACTCTGATTTAATGTTTTTTGTTGTTGTTGTGCAATTTCAGTTCTATTGTGTTAAGTGCTGAACAAAATGACACCAAACATGGCAGGTTGAACTTTTTTTGTCTGTGAAATATGATGTCAAATTTTACCATGGACTCCAGAGGGTTAAAAATGAATAAACAACAAAAAACACAGTTTATTCTGTTCTAAATGCGTACGAGTTGGTTGTTGAAGCTCAACAAAGCAGAGTTTGTCAGATATGTTTTTTCACACTGAAGGTGAGCGACTTGAAAATGAAGCAATTGGGTTTTAACTTCTCGGTTTAAAAAGGCGTCAGAAGCACAATCGGTCAAATACATAAAAGCAAGAAACTCACAGTGGAACTTGTGAAAATGTCATTCCTATCAAAACTTTGTCCTCGGTAGAAGTTCTAGAAATGATGAACTACTTTCTTTCATTTGGAAAACTGACTGGCAAGTCGTTATGACGGAGCTTTAGGGCCACCCTAAAAAAAAAAAGGAAAAAAAAAATTACCATTGCCACTCTAAGAAAAAAATAAAATAAAATTACAAGAATAAAGTCGTACGAGACTGGGTGCCCAAGATGGCAGATCTCTGCTCCACACAGATGGTGGTCTGTGGTTGCGTCAGGAAGGGCATCTGGTGTAAAAACAATTGCTAAGTCTTCATGCTAGTTAGTTCACTGTGGTGAGCCCTGAAGAAGGGAATAGCTGAAAGAGCAAGGGGAAAAAAATCCAATGCAATGAACTATTGTCTCAGTTTTAATGCACAGTTTTTCTAGTTAACTCTAAAAACACTAAAGCAGTCACACCGGTACAGATACTTTCAAATGCTGCATCGGGGCTTTGTTCAGTTGAACGGGACTCGGCATGCACACCGTCCATTAGGCATTAGCTGACTGCTCTTTGTCACCTGAGAAGCTAGGAGCTGAAGCCTAATGCAGTTCTTAAGGACCTGCACGTAAACATCTCTGTTCACTCACACACACACTTCATGGTCCTGCACCACTTGCAGTCTTTTCCCTTTGTCAGCTGTTCTAATTAAATTACACACAGTGCAAAACAACTAAATAATGGATGAGCAGCATTTTATCTTTGCATCATTCACCTTTTTCATTTGGGTGTTTTCTATCGGCTCCTATTAAGTGCCGTTTTACATCGAGCAGGGGAAGTTGTGCAGTGAACCTGCCATTGTTGGAGCTCTTCAGGACTTTGCAGGTGGCAAAGTGTTTCCTCTGAAGTCCAAGCATCTTGTTTTTCATTCTCTCCTGCTGGTTCACTGGCAAACGGACGTCTGTTTTTTTTTTTTTTTTTTTTGTAGTTTGTGCTGTAGAGCTTTGTTTGACTCCGTCTGTATTCACTGTTTACACCTTTCACTCATTTTGACTTATTCATTTATGCTTTTTTTTGCAGCTTTGCCTATGATACATTGTTACTCAAAAGGATATGTTCAGTGGTCTTAAGTTACCCTTTTAGTGGTTGTTAGTCATTTCCTTGTGAAGATTTTCAGTCTTATGATCTCTATTGCTCTTTGTACAAGCGACAGTCGATACGGACACGTATCTTATTTTGGCTTTTCCTCTCTTCAAGGGTTGCCACAGCGAGTCATCCTCCTCTGTCTCACTCTGTCCTCACTCCAACTACCTCCTTGCCCTCTTTAACTGCGTCCACATATCTCCTCTTTGTCTTTTTCCTTGCAGCTGCATTTCCAACATCCTTCTACTAATATACCCACTGTCCCTCTGGACATGTCCAAACCATCTCAGTCTGGCCTCTCTAACTTTATTTCCCTGTTCAACTTGTGTTGTACCTGATGATTTCATTCCTAATCTTCATCCTTGTCACGGAGAACCTCAACATCTTAATTTCTGCCACTTCCAGCTCTTTCTCCTGTCTTTTTGTCAACGCCACCGTCTCCAGATCATACAACATTGTAGCTGGTCTCACCAGTGTCTTGTGGATATGGATTGATAGTCGATAGGGACATGTATAAAGCCATGAATACAAAGCGATGTAAATAAATAAATAAACACATAAATAATAATAATCTGTGTCAGAAATGCTTTTCGTGTTCAGTTTGATCCATATTTTGCTCAAAGGCTCATCACTCCCTCCTGTGTCTACAGCATCCTTTTGTGAGAACGGTGACATGTAACCGTCCGTTGTTGGAGCTGGTGGCCGAGGCCAAGGCTGAAGTCATGGAGGAAATTGAAGACAATAGAGAGGAAGGAGAGGACGACGACATTATGGAGCTCACCGGGGTACTCAAACCTTCAGCTTTTTATGTTCCGTTTTGATGCGCTGTAATTTTCTTGGACGATATTGGGGCTTGCTCTGTTTTCAAACACACCTGAGTTGAATTCGTAGCACAACGGGACAGCTTCCTGTACCAACACAGTCACAATCTTTCTACTGTGGTCTGAAGTCAACAGACGAGTAATAAACACTCTGGTTGAGCAGAAACTCATACGTATGATCAAACAAGAAGATGCACTTAACCTTCATTTAACACCCTGCATCCCAAACACTAACGCATCCTGCTGGCAGACTGCTTGCCTCATAGTGTCCCTGCCTGCTTGTTGACTCAGTCGCGTTGCATTTTCTGCCTTCCTGCTGATGGATTTATGAGCAGTTTTCAGAGGCCGTTCACAAATCCACAGAGTGCACAAAATTAGAAAGTAACCGCAGAAGAATGTGGCCAACACGAACAAAAGAACAGTAACCGGAATCCTGGCACTCGCTCACACCCACATGCAGTTAAATTTAGGTGCTGCTGTTAACTTCACTCCTGTTGACCGTTGTCTCCAGCTGATGATGAAATGCATTTAAGGTTACTTATTGTTCTTCTGGCTGCTGTACGCTAACCTTAAAAATAAAACCTGGTGATTACCAAGCAGCTATAAAAGCCCCAGCGAAGGATTTTACTCACAGGAAGCTGAAGTGAATGTGTCAATAAGTGCTTTCACTTAATAACAATGACTTTATAAATCATAAATCTTTGGTGTTTTGTCAGCTAATAAACTTTTATTGTTGTAGTTATCCTTGCCCTCATGCAGAGAAAAAGCTTCAGGCAGTAAAAGCTCAATAGGAAGCAAAGCTTGGAATAAAAGCTGGGAGCATTATGGGCATAGATTGAAAGTAAAACATGCAAATGTGCAAACCATTTCTATAATAGCATTAATTTGAGATGTTGGCTAATTGAGTCTTTTCAAAGGCTGATGCTAGTCCTTAAAAATCTGGGCAACTGGTGACTAATTTAAGAAACCAGTTTGTTTAGTTTTGGACCAATAACATAACCATACGTAATATTTCTACACGTTACAGTTGACTTGATCTTGAAAAGTAAAATGAAAAACTCAGACTTGATGCAAATTCAAACCCATTGCTGCTAGAGTTTATTAGAGGTTTGATGTGACTGCAGCATGAAATTACTCCGATTTCCTCCATTAAAGCATCAATGTCTTTTGAGCAGGTAAATACAAAAGGTTCTAAAAGATTAAATAAAATAGGGTCTTGCAATTTATTAATTTTTTTAAGGAAAGTACATCTTTTTTGATTTTAAAATAATAAAATATCCTTGTTAAAACCTGGTGCGACAACAGCCACTGGGATTTTTTCAACCTTTATTTAGACATGTTCATCCCATTGAGCCTCGGGGACTCATTTACAAGAGAGACTTGATTTCTTAACGAAGAGTGATGACAACAGTGAGTAACGACAACAATAGTCATAAAATAAGCATAGGTATACAAATTTGTTTCTCTTTTTTAATTTTTTTACAAATCAACAAAATGGCAACCAAAAGGACAAAGAGGAATAGTAGCAAAAAACATCTAGATTATAAGGCGATTAAGAAAACTAAAAACAGGAACATAATTGCATTGTTTTTTTGTTTTGTTTTTTGCCATGAACTTAACAGATGTTTAAAGTCACTTTAGAGAGGTGAAGGTCGAGAACTTCAGAATGTATTTAAATATGGCGATTGCACCTTCTGCTCCACTCGAGCAGCCACAAAGTTAAGGGTATATGTTAGAACAGTGATTTTATTTACAATACTGAAAATCATTGACTTTTTGGAGCCTTACCAACTTCAGGGTGAGCCCAGGCCAAAACAACAAACCAAACAAACTTATCACCACAATTTTTCTCTTACTTGAAGAAAAATAAAATGACAAAAATACAGGTCTCTTTTCTTAATCAAGCTAGCGAAAAACAGGAGAAAAGGTCTTAAAAATAAAGTGGCAGCTCACCCCCACACACGCCTCACAAAAGGATTTTCAACTACTTGACCTGATAACAAGTGATGGCAGGTCAGCTGTGGCTGGTTGGAAGCGCAGAGTGAATGGAAGCGGACGTCGTCTCTTCCGCAGCTCATTTTATTCAGCACCCCTCGTCCAGCAACCAATCCCCATTTAGCTCCTCGGTGTCTTCCGCCAATCACAGCAGTGCACCTGGACACTAATTCACACAATTAAGTTTCACACATGCACACACAAAACTATACGACAGTCATAACAATCCTAGGGGGGTACTATTTTAGGTTTACTTTCTAAATTGGTAAGAAACAAATACACATTATAAATGTCCTAAGATGCTTACTATTAACAAATCGTGTAAAGGATGGATGCACACCAAAGAAAAACTACATGTTCTTCATTCTTGTAACCATTAATATATGAACTTTTTTTTTAGACATTGTAGGATACAATTGTTTTGACCATGTCAATCACATTTAAAGTAACTATTAAAATGAGGAAGGACTGGCCACTCCATTCTGATTAAAGTTAAAGATAGTTCACTGGAGGCAGCATTCAAAACTTCCTCCATGAGCACTTTGGCCTTCAGCAAAGGTTGAAAACATTAACACTTGGGAGGACACCAGCACCTTAAAGCCTACAAACCGAATGTTTGGTCACATAAGAAGTGAATAACAATGCCTCCCTGTTCCTTCAGTCTCCAGAAAAGGAGCCATGCCAGCAAAGTCAGACCAGTTTGGAGGGAGACCAGTCCCCAGACACCTCCAACCCCGCCACACCTTGCCCACCTTCACCGATGGCTTTCCCCAGGAGAGGGGCCCAGTTGGATTCACCCACAGGGGAGCAGCTAAACCCAGTCATGGGACTTCCTGTTCCTCAACCACGCCTGATTCACTTCCAGAGAGATTCAGAGGAGGTGGGGGGCAAGCTGACTGATGACGGTGTCCTTGAGCTGGAGAAATCAGAGAGTGAAGCTTCAACTAAGACTTTCAATTCGGACTCGGGATTCGAAGATGGGAAGACTACCCCGACACTGGAGGAGGACAAGGTGCTCTATGTAGTTTTTTTTTATAAATATATATATTTTTGAACAGGTATGCATTTTTTTAAATAAATTATAATAATTTTTCTTTTTTTTTTCCAAGTTTCTTGTAGAGACACCTGAGGCTACCGAAGACTCACGACCTTTCCGTCAAAGTGAGGAGAATGCAAAGCGTGATGGCTTCACCGTAGATAGTTTGTCCGAGGCTCGAAGCACCTCTGTGGGTCATGGAGAATCGCCGTCTCTGAACTCAAGTCGTTCGGTCACTCCTGCACCTACTCCCACTCCCTCCTTTGCTACCACACCAGTACTCGCAGCCAGTCATGACACAAACAACGCCAAAAGCAAGGGCACTGTAGAGCGAGGATCGATGGGAGGAAACTTCGAGTCCAACTCGCCTCTTATGAATGGAAGGAGAAACGACAAGCAGCAGATAAACAGCCTGGCGTCAGAGCTAATGGCAATCAACACAGAGACCATGTCTGTGTCTGCAAGGGTGAGTCTTCTGTCATTTATATACATCTTATCTAAAAATGATGCAGAAAAACTGGTTCATGCATTTATCACGTCTAGACTGGACTATTGCAATGGTTTATTATCTGGGTGTCCAAATGCTTCTTTAAAAAGTTTTCAGTTGCTCCAAAATGCTGCTGCCAGAGTCTTAACTGGAGTTAATAGGAGAGATCATATCTCTCCAGTTTTAGCTTCTCTCCATTGACTCCCTGTCAAATCCAGAATTGAATTCAAAATCTTACTTCTAACCTACAAAGCTCTCAACAACTTAGCTCCATCTTATATTCGCAATCATATTGTTCCATATTTCCCTAACGGAGCACTTCGCTCTCAGGCTGCAGGCTTACTCGCAGTTCCTAGAGTTTCCAAAAGCAGAATGGGAGAAAGATCTTTCATTTATCAGGCTTCTCTCTTGTGGAACCAACTTCTAGTCTCTGTCCATGATGCTGACACATTGTCCAGTTTTAAGGCTTTCCTTTTTGATAAATCCTATAGTTAGGGTTGGCGTGTTATGCTTTCATAAGCTTAGACTACTGGAGGACAAATTGACCTAATTTCCTTAAATGAATTGTTAAAACTGAATAGTTTTCATTTGATATAATTTATATCTTAACATGTGATTTTCGACCTGCCATTGTGCATCTGTTCCTCTCAAACCCAGCCGGTCGAAGCAGATGGCCTCTTGTCTTGATCCTGCTGCTAAAAGTTTCTTTCTCATGAGGGAGTTTTTCCTTTCCACTGTCGCCTTCATGCTTGCTCAATTTGAGAGCACTGCAATGGAGTTAAATTCAAAGCAGTCTGCTCCTCAGATAAATAACTATTTTATATACTGAACATTTCTGCTCAGTGCCCTGAGATGACTTCTGTTGTGACTCTATAAATAAACTGAACTGAATTGAATAGAGAGAGATAAAACAAACATTGTGATATTTCTTATGGAGACCAGACAATTCAGGTAAAACTATCTAAACCGTTACTTGCGTTTATAATGAAATGGACCCATTTAAGTGTTTAGAGAGGCTGTTCTGTGCATCTGTAGGAAAACCCCACCTTGGAAAAACTACTACTCTGCACCCACTGAAGGACTGCAGCAGCTTTGTGTTGTGTTTTGGGGTGTGGGTGTTAACCGTCTGACACAGAGGATTGCCTGTCTTCTGTTAGCTTTACACCACTTATTATGCATCAGAAAAAAAACCAGAGGGTTGATGGTGTCATTTACAAATTACACACACCTTTTTTTAAACTTTAAGCTATTCGTCCCTGAAAGTTCTAACGAGGTTTTGGAAGCTTGAGCAGCCAAAAATGTTACATGTTCCAGTCATCGGGACCAGCGGTGCCCTTTGTGTGGGCACAGTCACTCATTCACTGTTGCGAATAGACGTTTCTATTCAGCTCATTGTCACTCTGTAGCTTCTGAAGGGCAGAATGACAGACTGTGATTGAAATCCAACTAACTGCATGAAGTCGGGTCCATCTGTGGCGAAAATAATCTTGGGATTTGAGTGTGTCCAATCTAATCATAAGCGATGTAAAGCATCCGTTTGAGCACATATGCACTGATCCGTCTACATTTTATAGGCGTGATTAGTTTGGATTGGATAAACGTAGAAAGGCAACAAATTATGAGTAACTTCTTAAACAAATAGTGGAGTGGCCAACTGATCCTTAGAGGATGATGTCAGTGTGTGCTTGATGACACACAGGGAAAAACTGAGTGCTTTCTCCCCGTGTCAATGAAATTGTGTTTGTGGTGGTGGAGAATAAATATACAAGAGGGAAAGGTGTAATATCTGCATTCAGGAGCTGTCATTTGTTACAGGAGTCTCGCAGGAGACTGTTTGCTCAGCTGTCAGTAGACAGTAGGTGTAACAAAGCTCTCCGGCTGTCCTCTGGATAGAAACGTATCTCGCTGATACTTAACCTCATTTTCCTGTCTCCGGTCCTCACACAGCACTGTACAATAAAACATGAACCAACCAACCAGCTCTCAATTCTTTGTTTAGCTCTCAATTCAAATCTTTTTTTTTTTAATTTAGTTTTTATACAAGTGTGCAGTGGCTACTTTCACCTCACCTTGACAACATGGCATGCCCTTAAAAAAAAAAATCTGATACAAGTAAAGAATAGAAGACCAAAACCTAGAAAACTATCCATCTTACCACATGCCTCATCTGTTCAGTTAAAAATTAAAAACAAGCAGAGCTTACACAGGACCCAAGGGTTCCGGACACTGATCATGTACTGAATGTCAACCTTCCAGCTAAAGCCCTTTGGAATTCACTCAGTTGCTGTTGATGTACAGTAGTCCCTTGATTATCGTTGGGGTGACGTTCCACGCGCTCCCGCGATAGGTGAAAAACCGCAAAGTAGGAACGCTATATTTTATTGTTTCTTCTTTTTGGCTGCTCCCTTCTTCAGGGGTCGCCACAGCGAACTGTCGCATGAAGACTGCGCAATTATTTTTACTCCGGATGCACTTCCCGACGCAACCACAGCCCACCGAGCTACCACAGCCCTCTGTGTGGAGCAGAGAGCTGCTATCTAGGGTGCCCGAGGGAGCAGATGGTGGGGGTTAAGAGCCTTGCTCAAGGTTCCAGTGTGGGGCCGATGACGGTGGAGGCAAATGTGACTGCTTCGCTTATCCCACCCACATTTTGATGTTGTTGGCACCGGGAGTTGACCCAGCGATCTTCCGATCACAGGCTCACCTTCTCTAACCTCTGCGCCACCACTCCTCTCTAAGAACGCTATATTTATTGTAGTATTTATATATATTTTAAGGCTTTGCAAACCCTTCCCACATCCTTGCAATGTTCTAAACTCTTAAACCTACAACATTTTAACAACATGCGTAAGAAACTGGTCCAGATGAAATGATTTAACCTCTTTTGTTGTAGCATATGTACAGTATGTACATTTACTCACCAGCTCTGCAGAAAGCTCAGCTCTGTTCCGGTTCTGCAGACCTAACTGGCAGCGACAAAGCCCACCGCCCCGTCCAGGTTTATGTGCGCATGGATAATTGAGTTTCAGGATTATTTGCAACTTTTCTGCCCGTTCTGAGCTTCATATAGCATAGATTTGTTTTGCAAAACTTTATCTCCATTTTGGCAAAAAACAGCAGCCAAAAGCACTGTTGGCTTCTGGGTAACGTAGTTCTTTTTGACTGGCCTTACAGTGTAGGCTTATTGAAAGAAAACTACAAAAAATGGCGGTGCCTGTCCTAAGCATTTTTTTTTTCTGTTAACTTTTTATTCCATATTGTCCCAATCACGCAAGTAATGTTAAAGTTGACAATCGTTGAAAAAACACTAAAGAGCGAGTCCGTGAACATTGAACCGTGACGTAGCAAGGGACTACTGTACAATGTTTTCAATTTTTGCCCCCCTTTTTTTGTATATAAATGTGTATGAACAACATGGGTTTATTTCTTCAGTTATTTATTTTTTATTTTTTTTTATACTTAAACAATTTATGTTAGTGCTAAGTAGCTTAGCAAACAAACAGCTGCCCAAACTGGTCAAATGTAAGGAACAGATTGATAATTAGATAAAAAATAATAAATAAATAAAGTAAAAAAAACAAACAAACAATTCTTCACAAAGCATGACATCATATTAATCATTACCACTTTAAACCATTACAAGAACAGTTCCTTAGAAGAAAAACAAAGTAAAAACAAAGTCAAGAAATAAAGAAAATAGAAAAAAGAAATGGGTCTTACTAAAATCTTTGTGTTGCATAAACTATTTATGAACCTAGAAAGTTCTGACATTCAGTTTGAAATGAACCAGTGTGGAGTCAATCTTAAACTTTTTATTTATTTATTTTTTTATTCAACCTCATCATTTTAAACATCTGCTGATGCTAATTAAATCTGAGGCGACACGTGACTTTCAATGATTACAAGAACAGTGTCTGGTTCCTTGGAAGCAGAACATAAAGAAATAGTTCTTACTAAAAACTTTGTGTTGTATAAACTATTAATGAGCCCAGAAAGTTCTGACTGTCAGTTTGAAATGAACCAGTGTCGAGTCAATCTTAGCATCAGCAGATAGTTAAAAAAAAAAAAAAAAGTTAATTAAATCTGAGGCGACGCATGACAACATGCTGGAAGCGTCCCACGTATAGGCACTGTCAGTTTGTCATGACAACGGTTTCTGTTGGGTCACAAGGTGAGGTCACTCAATGACTCATTAATCTCTCATTGTACACATAAGATGACATCATTAGACTAGTAGTCTCCGTTACTTTTAACTCTTAATCCAAGTTTGATTAGCTGTAATCTGCAGCCTAAAATGTAAAAGATTAGTGAGTGGTTCCACAGCAGCGCAGGTTCAAACAAAGACAATAAAAAAGTTGCATTTTGTGGATGACTTCTTCTTTTAAGTTATTTCCTGCACCGTTGAAAGGAGCTCTTTGCTGCTTGTTAGAAAAGAACTTCACCAGTAGGAAAACTAATGTCAGAGCGCATGCACACAAAGCAGGTTCTGTTTCTACATGATGTAAAAAAAAAATTACAAATGGAATCCGATTAATTAAAAGGAAGCTGCAGAAAAGTCACAACACTTAAAAGGGCTTGTACTTTTCAAGCTGACAGTCTTATTACTATAACAATTGTTGTAGACACATTTAAGGCTATTTATGGGAGAGTTTGACAGATTATAGTATATTGAGTTTTTAAATCCATTGTCTGGTTTACGTTATTACATAAATACAATTATTTGTGGGTAATGTAAGCACAGCAATGTAAGCATTTGTAAAAAAAAAATTTTTTTGAATATTTGTATCTAAATCTGTCAACTTTATTAAACAGTTGGAAAAAAGTTAAATGTATGAATGTACAAAAGGTGCAAGCAACACATGTCTGAACCTCAGGACTTTATTCCTTTCTGTCTTTCAATCAGGCATTTTCCAGTAAGACTCTAAAGCGGACGAGGAAGTTTGTTGTTGACGGCGTGGAAGTGAGTGTGACCACCTCAAAGATCATTCGCGATGATGAGAAGAAAGATGAGGAAATGAGATTCCTGAGGTATTTATCCACATATCTGCTCATATCAAACATTTTGCACGTAACTTTTAAAAATGTATATTTTAGGTGGTGCCCATTTGGATAAATCGACATGGATGCTCAGCGTTTTATTAAAATGGGATATTTTTTATATATTTTTTTTATTTATTTAAGTACTGTGAGAACTCTTGATTTCTGGGCACAAAGTGCAGACTGTAATGTGACAATATTGCTTTTTTATTCTTTTTCTTATTTAAGGAGCTCTGTTCCTTTGAGCTTTAGGCCTTTGAAAGTAGAGAAAAAACCTTTTCTTAATTAAATAGGAAAAAAGGGCTGTAGATTGCCATTTCTCTGCCAGAGTCCAAAACACACCTCTGCCATCTAGTGGTGAGAATATGAACTGCACGCACGACTGCCGTTAAAGTCTGATTGTTAAAAAATATCCTGATGCATGCTTAATAATCATTGTAAAAACTTACCTGAGATCTAAGTATGATCATTTTTCTGCTTCACTCACCAAACTTTACAAAAACATTGCAAAGAAAACACTTGATCCATAATATTTTACACTTCTATTGTGAGGATGTATAGAATACCTGGGTGTGCATACATAGCACCAACATGCCCCGACTTTCCCCCAAAACCCCTTTTCACAAATAAAGTACCAGTATATTTATTTTAAATGCTTTGACACCTAAATATATGATTATAAACTTTAAAGCAGTGGTTCCCATCCCTGGTCCTTGAGGGACACCATCCTGTATGTTTTAGTTGTTTTCCTGCTCCAACACACCTGATTCATTGATTTAATTTCTTCCTCATGTTCTGCAGAAGCCTGTAAATCACCAATTTATTAAAATCAGGTGTGTCGTAGCAGAGATACAGCTAAAACACACAGGTTGGTGTTCCTCAAGGACCATGGTTGGGAACCCTTGCTTTAAAGTAAACTATTAGCGGATAGTTTGCTCCTTGAAAACGTTGATGTGAGCATGTTTAAACGTGTTTTGTGTGCGTGTTTAGACGGCAGGAGTTGCGTGAGCTCCGCTTGCTGCAGAAGGAAGAGCAACGCAATCAGAGTGATCTGCACGCCAAACTGGAATCACAGAAAGAACAAATGCACAAACGCTTTGAGCAGGAATTGAACGTGAGTTGGGGCCTGTCTAAGAACAAATTGCATCTTACATAAAAATCATCAAAACATTTGTTGTTAAGTTATTTTGGAGCCTGTAGTTCGAGCTCGTCATCCATATGTGTCAAAATCACTGGTTTTGGCTCTAATCACATATTCTACATGTTTTTTAGAGTTTCCTTTTCTTGATTTGGGTCCAAAGTTTTTATGCTTTTCTTCCTGTTGGTTTGTTTCAGACTAAAAAGAAGCAATATGACACGGAACTGGAGAACATGGAGAAGAACCATAAGCAAACTATTGAGAAAATGGAGGCAGACCACAATGTTAAACTCAAGGAAGAAACCAAGCGCATCAAAGCAGAGCAGGAGCGAGAGTACCACAAGTTCCTGGACCAGTTGAAACTAAAGAAGAAAGAGGTGTATTTAAAACTTTGTGTAATAAGTCGTGATTTGTACCGTTCGTGTCAGTAAATGGTGATAAACTGCACAGCATGAAAACGTACAAAGGTTCTCAACTGAACTTTCTTTTTTAGCTGAAGCATTCAATTGATAAGATGCCCCGAAATCAGCGGAAAGAAAGCTTGAAACAGACGATGTCTACTTTTCAAGAAGACAAGACGAAACAGGTTTGTTGTTTTGGTTTCGCATTTGAGCTCATGGTCTTTTCATACGAACTCAACCCAGCTGTGTCCAACACATTGCTGCTGGACTCTCCCTTAGAGATAGGGTGAGAAGTTCAGTTATCTGGGAGAGACTCTGAGTAGAACTGCTGCTCCTCCACATCGAGAGGAGCCAGTTGAAGTGGTTCGGGCATCTGATAAGGATCCTGGGCGCCTTCCTAGGGAGGTGTTTCGGGCATGTCCGACTGGGAGGAGACTCTGGGGAAGACCCAGGACACGGTGGCGAGACTGTCGCTCGGAACGCTTTGGAGTCCTCCCAGTAGAGCTGGAAGAGGTAGCTGTGGAAAGAGATGCCTGATGGGGTCTGGGGGTCCTCCCCCAGAAATTTTCTAATTAATTAGATGCAATTTCCTGCATTTTGGTGTATTTTACCAGGTTGTTAAACATATACGTTTACCTACATTTGTAAACACACCGCTTCTGTCAAACATCCTGCCCCAACCTCCCTTACTTGACGGTTCCGAGTCGACTCTTCTCCGCTGAATTCACTGTCCGCCTCCACATGTGAAACCTCCAGGCGCCTCCTCCGTCTGTTTTCTGCTGCCTGTGGGCTCCTGCCCGTGTACGACTAACTGGTTAGCTCGGCACTCACCCCCACCACTCTTTTAGAGTGACGAGGCAGTTCGTATGTAATATTAAGAATTCGTAAGTGGCTCTTGTGTTTAAAATGAGTGTTTATGTAATAATTTTCAGTTTGCCAATATAAGTTTTATTCATTCAAGACAGTTATAACTTTATTATTAGTAAGCCTGAGAGTTACCAGATCCAAGCAAACAGTTACTAGAACACACCCTGTCAAAATAAGAGTTCCCAGATCCTGTTCCGGCAGGTTCCAGCTCAATTTAAGCATACTGCCTATACTTCTATACATTTTGTTTGACTTCCATCTACTCTCTCCATCTTCACCTTCCTTTTGATGTGCTTCAGGAGGAGAAATTTTTAGCAGCACAGCGGGAGCACCTGAACACAACACTGAAGATGATGATCGCAAACAACAAGAGAGATATTGCAGAAATGGAAAGGGAATGCCTCAACAAGAAACAAGAATTTATCAGAGGTGCGGTATACGAGCATAAACCACTGTCATGACCCTTGAGCTTTTTTGCTGTCCGCTCCACACCACGTTTGTGTGATTCATATACGAGATCGTTTATATTTTACATTTGGGTCACTGATTAGAGCGCGAGTCTGCGACATGGAGCATGGAGGAGAGCCATCTTTATGAGAAGCACCAGTTGTTGAAGCAGCAGTTGAAGGATCAGTATTTCCTCCAGAGGCATTTGCTTCTGAAGAAACACGAGAAGGTAAACTGGAGCTCTTAGCACTTTTCTTTCAGAACTACTTTCACTTGTGGTGGGATGTAAATCACAATAAGCAGGAATTCACTTTTGCAGTGTTTTCCAGCTACAGGTTAATTGTGTGAACGCTTATAAAGCTTTCACACTATTGTGATCCATTTTCCTTCTATATGTTTTTCAGCGTCTTTCTCGTTCCACAATTTTGTGCTATTTCAACAAGTCTTATATCAAAACGTTCAGCTTTTTCAGGACAATCCTGTAATGACATTTTGTATTGGTGCAACTTTAGCTTTTTGAAATATTTAGCCTTTTCTGCCACTTTTTTCCCCATAGGAAATTAATTTACATCCATCAAATATTGAGATATGTTTACAACCTTTTACTGCTCCTTTCACATTTTGTTCTGGTTCAGCTTCCTTGTGCAAATGTAAACATTTTTTTCCAGCTACTTTCAGCTGTTTTGTGCTCCTTTCAGCATATTTCTGTGTTTCAGCTTTTCTGCTATTTTTAGCTACTATTTAGCTGATTTTTTTGCCAATTTTAACCTTTTCAGTTAATTCCACATTTTTTTTGCACTCATTTAAACTTTTTCTGCCTAATTCAGCAAAAATGTGCTCTCTCCACTTCTGGCAATTTAAACTTCTTTCTACCTTTCAGCTACGTTTCAGATAATTTCTACTTTTTGTGCTAATTTCTGCTTCTTTCTGCCTAATTGAGCAAACGTTCTTTCTGCTTTCTTCTGCTAACTTAAGCTTGTTCTACCTTTTCAGCTAATATTTTTTTTAGCATTGTTAGCTAATTTTAACTGTTTTCTGATTCAAGTTTGTCTACATAATGTCTGCTACTTTCAAGCTAATTAACTTCATTCTGATAATTTCAGCTTGTTATACTCTTTTCAGCTTTTTTCTGCTAGTTTCAGCTTTTTCCTCTATTTCTTCAACTTTTTTTTTTAGCCTTTTTAGTTAGTTTTTTAACTTTTTTTTTAAATTATTATTAGTTTTTTTCAGCTAATTCTGCATTTTTGAGCTCATTTCAGCTCTTTCTGCTTCCTTCTGGTAGTTTAAGCTTCTTTCTGCCTTTAAGCTACTTTTCAGCTATTTTTTAAGCTAATTTCCTAATTTTTGTGCCAATTTCTGCTTATTTAAACCCATTTTAGCAAACGTCCTTTCTGCTTTCCTCTGCTAATGCAGCCGTTTTATTTTACTGCAGCTACATTTTAGCTAATTTCAATAGTTTTTCAGCAAGTTCTTCTGCAATAAGCATTCACACATCATTTTCACAGGAAATGCAATTTCTCTTATTTTCTCCTGTTTTTCTGTGCCTCTACAGGAGACTGAACAAATGCAGCGCTACAATCAACGAATGATCGAGATTCTGAAATCCAGGCAGCAGCAGGAGAAAAGCCGACTACCCAAGATCCAGCGCGGCGAGGCCAAGACACGTATGGCTATGTTCAAGAAGAGCCTCCGCATCAACTCAACAGGCAGCTCTGCAGAGGATAGAAAGAAAACCAAAGAGGTTGGATGATTTAAACAAATGTCCTTATGATTAGGTATCAGCTTGATTTATTAGGAACTCACTCCCTGTGTGTCTCTCCAGTTCTCTCAGCAGGAGGAAAAGCGACAAAAGGCAGAAAGGCAGTATCAGCAGCAAAAGCATGAAAACCAGATGAGAGAGATGATTGGTCAGTGTGAGGGCAACATCAGGGAGCTGCAGCAGCTGCAGGTGAGTAACGGTCAAAGCTCTTCTGTTTGGAATGTGTCTTTTAGAAGAGAGGACATGCTATTGTAGATATAGTCTGCCTATGCCAACATATTTATTTTTATTTGTCCCCAAGAATGAAAAGTGCCACATGCTGGTTGAGAATGAGACCCAGAGGCTCAAACAACTGGATGAGAAACACAACCAGGAGATGAAGGAGTGGAAGGACAGCCTGAGGATCCGAAAGAAGGTGCACATTTCGAGTCATTCTATTATTTTTGTTTATTTGGTAGCACTTTACAGTAAAAGTGCCCTTATAAAAGATTATATGATTTATAATCAAGTTAATCATCAGACTGTAAACACTTTGTAAATAATTTAGGCAAAATAATTCCAAACATTATTCATACACTGAAGCAGGTTTACTACTTTGCAAGATCAGGGTAAATGTAATGTATTTTTCTAGTTTCTCAGGTTAGTTTAATTTAAATAACTTTATATATACATTGTTCACAAAACTCATCATGTTGACATTCTGGTACATCTTTAACAAATGTTTGATTTTTAAAACCTGAATGATGAATAAAGCAGGAACCAAATGAAAATATGTACAGATAAAAGTTGGCTTACTATTCAGCAGGAAACAAGTCATTATTGTCCTTTTCTGTCTAATGCACTGTAACTGCTTATAAATAGATTACTAAGTGTTTACAGCCCATTAAAGTGTACTTTTATTGTGAAGTGGTACGTTTTTAACAAAATCTGTGAAGATATTTGACCTAATACGAGTGTTTGAATTGTTTAAAGTGTCTGTGACAAACACATCCTACATATAAAAAGAGAAAGAATACATTATTTATGAAATTTGGCACAATTAACATGATTTTATCCATTTTGGCATATAACTAGAATATTCTTTTAAACGGTGTGGCCATTATGAAACGGGAAGTGACGTCAAAGGTAAATTCCCTGGTCTTTGTTTATTGAAACAATAAACAGTCTTTTTTTGTCTCTGATGAGGCTCAAAATAATCTTAAAAAACTAAACAAAACAAAACAGATTAGTTGCTACTGTCTGTGTTGTCAGCCATTCTAGCAACGCTCCGTTTATATAAAGTCATTCTACTTTGTCATAACGTCCTATTACTGCGCATGCAAATATCTTTTTTTTTTTTTTTGCAAAGTTATTATCTTTCCAAAAATGCATTTATAATTATTACACAATGTTGATGTCACAGACACTTTTAAAGTTTTAATCAGATTTGAGTGAATTGGCATAAACAAGCCTAAATAAATTATTAGCTTGCCTTGTTTGAGCAAAAAATCCTATTAAATGTATTAAATTTGGGCATAAGCTCGACTTCAAGCTCTGCATCAGCTTCAGTGTGTTTCTTCCACACTAGATTTTTATGTAACAAAATTTCAATTTAAAATATTAAAGTAAAATAATACAGTATATAAATTACTTGTAGTCAAACGTGGATCATAGTGATGTTATTCTTATTGGGGACTGCATAGAATATGCAGACTCCTATTATTATTCACCTCGGAAAACGGGTTTCTTAACTTTATTTATTTATATCTTAACTCTTCCGTCATCTTTAATGCGGCCCGAACCGCAATGTGTACCCCCACAAATGTTACATCAAAACGACCGGCTCGGCCCCGTGATGCGTTACTTTCATTGGTTTTTCGAGTTACCATGGCGACGTACTTTGCTAACAAAGACGCCGTATTTCCTCATAGGAAAAGGAACACTCTTCGCATTAACTGCTGTTTACTTGGCGTGTAGAGGTCCCTGAAGAAAACAGAAGCTCACTGTTAGATTTGTTTGAAACTCACAGAAAGTAATCATCAGATAAATGTATAGAACTGATTAACGTTTAGAGCCATTTTGATTCAAGATAGCTGCCACAGCTTCCTCAGCAAGCACAAAATTGACTATAATTCTGTCATTCTTTGAGATATTGAGCTGAAATTTAGTATGGTTGTAGCTGGGAGAGCATTGTTATACATTCCTAATGCAAATAAAATATCCAAAATGGCCACCTTAGCTAAAAGAGAAAAAAAAAAACCCATAACTCGGCCATTTTAAGAGAGATTCAGCTGAAATTTAGTATACTAGTAGCGGAGCACGAACCCAAACACACATTACTGTCAAATCACCAATTTAAACGGGCAGCAGCCTGGCAGTCCCCATCAAAGTTTATCCACAATTTTTTTAGGTAATTTTTATCAGGTTCATACAGAAAATGAACTGCTTGCACTAAATTGGACACTGTCCCTTTTTATGCTGCATGTTAAACATCTGTAGAGTACTTTACATACAACCCAATACGACAGTTTTACCTTTACATTTGATGTAAAAATTGATTTTAAAATGAATACAAACCTTGACTGTTTGCGATTATGTAAAGATCTGTTTTGGTGAAATAATAACCCTAATGTCTCCACCCCTCCAGGCTATCGAATATGAGCTTGACATTAAGAAGAAAGACCAGGAGGCTTTTTTCATGATGAGCGAGAGTTGCGATTGCTCGGACCCCAGCTCTAGTCAAAGACTCTCCAAGTTCGTGCCTTACTTTGACTCCTCTACCATATAAGCACACGTGTCGCAAGGATGCACACAACTGGCTGCCCTCAACACACAAACGCGCACACACGTGTGTTCTACCTGCTGCCTCAGTTTTTGCTTTCTCTGCAACGACAGAATGCACGTGCTCCAGATTTCTACAGTTTTAGTGAATATTTATGTTTTAACTGAAGTCTTTTCTTTTAAAATAAGATTTCCGAATCTGTTCCCATTCAGCTTCTTAATGCTGAAATCTGCTTGGTAAACATGAGAATGATACGATGTTTGGATGAAAAGACGATGCCAAATTATGCTTCTGTGTGTATTAAAGTACACATAATTGTTGTAATGATGCACAACCAGCGAATTTTAGCATTGCGGCAAGTGTTAATAAGCAATTATGCACTTTTTTGTTTACTCCAAACATAATTTACTGACTCCCTTCATCAATCTCAGCTTGGCTTGACTAATTTTTATTCATCAACTCTGATGCATGTTACATAGCAGCCAAATATTTATTTTTACAGGTATACAACGTTCAGAATGATGCTGTAAGGTTTAATTCAATACTTTTTTATTTGTCTTACACCCATAACATGAAGGATGGGCTTTAACTTTTTTACTTTACTTTTCAAATGAGGGATGAGGCTAAATGCAAAACTAGAATTTAAGGTATTTTTTATTATTATTTTGCATTGCTTATTTTATCGTACCAGGGAAGAATCTGTCATGTGGATAATTTTTATTTACTGTACAATCAGTCACACTGGATGGGAACTGACAAAGCCAAAGTTTAATACTGTTTCTTTATGTTGTACGAGTGATTTAAAACTTATAAGTGTACAACTATTATAGCAAATGCAGTAAATGAACTGCTTGTTAACTAAAGTGCAATATTTTACATATATAAATATCTGCTCGGCTTACAGAGCTTTATTTTTCTTAAATTTTGCTTTCCTTTGCACTGAGAGAGAAAAATGTAAAACATTTATTTAAAAATAATAATAATAAAAAAAGTGACAACCTTAAAGAAGCATACTTAAAATATAATTTAGAATTTTATTTACTTCAAAACGAATAATTATGTGATCTCACCCATCAATAACTTATACTCATAACAAACCTCATCTTTTTAAAGATGCTCAACGATTATAAGCATCCAGATATTTAATCCTTAACGTTGTTTTTCTTGTCAAATGAGTTTAGAGTTTGGCCTGAAGACTTGCATCCAGCTAAATTGTTCACATTTTCTCTGGAGAAGTATTTAATTTAAACGAGGAACATTTTTGTCATGTAGAAAGTCTTCCTCTGTGCCTCAGTTTACATGTTTGTGTGGAAGGGGTGTGCATATGAATGAGTTTGTATCAGAAGGAACCACTGATGTATAGAGCTTCAATAAAATGAAACTTTTTTTTTTATTACATGATTGTGGCGATTTCTTTCTCCCCCTTCTGTTTAAACAGGTTGCAGAACTCCTTTGGGCTTTCCGTTAAAATCTAGTTTTAGAAAACACAGTGCAGTAAACCAGTAATGTGTATATATAGTATTCTGTAATCTCATCCTAATGGAAAAAATGCAGCCAGAGGAAAGATGGATCTCTAAAAACAATTAACTTTTGCCTTTTAGAAATGTTTTTGAAATACTCCAGGTAATTTAAAGTGATTTAGATCTTTTAAAGTGCTCTTTTGAAGAAAAGTAATTATTATCTTACATGATGGTTCTTTGAACAATCTTGTTTGGAGAAAATGTTTAATTTTGATGACCTGACACGATTAATAAGTCTAAGCAGGGCAAAGATCAATGTGGATTTTTAGTTTTACATACTTATTTGTATCAAATTCAAGCAGAAGTGCCATGCATGCCAGATGAAATTGACAGCTGTGTAAATTTTATTAAAATGTCCTTTATGAGAAACATTCTGAAATTGAAAATGGTTGGCTCCAATTAAAAATAAACTTTCTCCAGAGGTAATCCAAACACTATAAGGTAGTCCTTCACTTATCACTGGAATTCGTTTGAGACACCCTCGCAATAGGTGAAAATCCGCAAAGTAGGGACATTATATTTATTTTAGTATCTATATATACATGTATACTAAGGCTTTATAAACCCTTCCCGCACTCACGCAATGTTCTTAACGATGTTCTAAACTCTAAATTATCTAAAAAAGCACAGCTTGTCATGATCTCCTCTCGCTGCCACGCCCACTTCTCCACTGCAGTCACACATGCTCATTGCCTGTGTCACTCCCAATCTCCATCCTGCTGCACCTGTGTGCTCACCAGTCTCTGCATCCCTGCCAGATTGTCTGATCGCCTCGTGCCTTAAGTATCCAGCATTCTTGTTCCTGCTCTTTGGGTCGTGCTTGAATATTTTTAAAAACAATCCATGCAGCTTATTCTGGTATAAGACAGACACGCCCACTCCCTGTTTTTTCTTTTCAAGGAAAAAGAAAGGAGGGGGCAAGGGTGTCTGTCATACCTGAGTGAGCCACACTCAGCACTTTTTTATTTATTTATTTTTTTTTTTTTACTGATTCACTCCATTTTTCCACCTAAGCATTTTATCCGGTTTACTACATTAGTTAATCTGATCTGTTCATCTCTGCTCCCTGAGCAGTAGAGATGCGGAAAGACAGACTCCTCCCCGCCTTTCTCTCGCTGAGGCTGTCACAGCAGAGCAGACAAGACACCCTTTCTCTTTTTGAGGCTGTCGCAGCAGAGCAGAGACACCCTCCTTTCTCTTTCTGAGGCTGTCACAGCAGAGCAGAAACACAGGCTGTGACAGCATCAGAAAGAAAGGAGGAGGTGGGGGTGGGTCGTACCTGCGTGAGCCGCACTCACCCACGCTCAGCCACTTTTTTTTTTTTTTTTTTTTTTTACTGCTTCACTCTTATTTTTGCACCTAAACATTTTCTCTGATTTTCTACATTAGTTCACCTGATGGGTTCATTCCTGATCTCTGAGCAGTAGCAATGGGGAAAAACAGACCCCACCACCCCCTCCTTTCTCTTTCTGAGGCTGTCACAGCAGAGCAGAGACACGGGCTGTTGTGTCTCTCTGCTGTGATGGTCTCAGAAAAAGAAAGGAGGGGGCGGGATCTGTCTTTCCCCATCGCCAATCGTGTACAATCTTACATTAAAAACGTGAAAGAGTGAGTCTACGAAAGTCGAACTGCGAAGTATTGAGGGATTAATGAATATAAAAAATGAAAATATTCTTCAATGTCTAACAGACCTTCATTGAAAACTGTCTGGCAAAACAAACAGTAGTGAATTGAGACACATCTTCAAAGACATTTCAGATTGTTTTATTGACAAAGCAAAAGCAGACTTAAAGTACTTGGCAGGAAGTAAAACAATTACAATACTGAATGAACAGCACTAGTCAGTATATTTGTTTTTGATGTGTACTGTTCTATCCTGCTTTTGGCCACAAAATACAGTTGAACAGAATTCTGTGTATCTTGTCTCCCGCCCCAGACAGTTACTTACTGTCATTTCTGTATAAAAAAATGATTTAAAAAGTGGTGCAATGTTATAGCAACTAGAAGCAGAACAGGATCAACGTTACAGCTTTTAGCTTTGTCAAGGCTTTTCATTTGTATAAGCAAACATGAAGCTTCTAGATAAAAATAGCAACCAGTTGCTCGACAAAGTGTCTTTTAAGGGACCCACTTTTCATTTTATATCGCAGAGAAATTCCTTAGTATTTAGCATAATGAGCTAATCTCAGTGAATTAACCATTCAAATGTTTTATTCCAAACCCAAGCCATTCAGTCCTAAGAAGAAGAAAAAAAAATCTACTAGATGGACCAAAGACGAGCGCTAAGATGACTCATTACTGTACAATAAAAATAATCTGCACTACTGGCTATGCTTGAGACCAGTCAAGCATTGCTGTAAAACATTATACGATGATCATCACTTTGTAATTTGAGCATCAAACTTCTGTTGCCAAGCGCTTGTAACACTTAAAACACTGTAAATCATTGCACAGGTCAATGCAAATCTACACTTTATAATATCCAGAGTGCTCTGTGATTCACATTTCACAAATCTCATTTTCAGACATGAGATGTAAAAAAAAAAAAATGACTTCAACACTCTTATAGTTTGGATCTTTTCGTCTCATCTTTACAAAGTGAGTACTGATCTGAATGTGTTGTCACAATGAAGTAAACAAGTCATTTGGCAAATAAAATGAATGGTATAAAAAAATAAAATGCATTGTTGCATTCTTTCCTCTCTCCTTTTAGTGTGTGCAAACATTTATCTTACTTCACCTGAACTGACTGAAAGTGCACATCTGGTAAAAAACCACTGCTATTATGACTGATTGAAGTTGAAGGAAAAACTCTGATTGCAAGAAAACAGAAATGCAGCTCTAAATTAGCAGACTGTATTTATACTTAGCAAATATACATCCTAAAGTGAACTTGAATGGTACCAGATCAAGTCGATTAAATATCCTGAATAAGTGTGTCACCATTTACAGGATTCAGTTTTTTTTTTTTTTTAACTTTTGCTTTGAAGAGCATTGTAATATTTGAACATCTAAACCTACAATAAGGCAAGTCTTGATGGAAGATGATTGCAGTGACTAAGTCTACAGCTGCATACAGTTTAATATCCACCTTGCATATATGTTGAGGCACCATATTATAAAAGGCATGGGTACATTGACTGCAGTTCTAGTGTCTGGCCTGAGCAATTGCAAAATGGACACCGGCAGTGACTGACATGGCCGCTAAAGCAGAAACGATTTCTTACAATTTCTAGATAAAAAATAAAAAAAAGACAATAAGTAAACAACAAAAAAATAAGATAAAATAACAGTCAAGTTATTGCTGGTTCTGTTGGTAAAACATTTTAAACAGGACAAATCGTTAAACCCTTAATATAAAATAAAAAAAAAGATGCATATAAATAAACTATTTGTGTGTTCCATTTGTACTCTTGAGCTTCAAGTCGTAAAATTAAACTAACAGCTTCCAAAGTCATAAACCTGACTGAGAATTTAAGAGATTCTTTGTTAGAAAGGACAAGGGATGCACAATATTATCAGCATTGTATTGGCTGATATTTGCAATTAAGTTAAATATTGTCTGTGTGTGTGTGTGTGTGTATATATGCACTGTATTGTTGTCATTGTGTTAGAGAGAATACCGGTAAATATGAATAAATTTGATATTAAACATAATTCCAAGTTGAAGTGTTACATCATTTTCAGGACCCTTTTTGGCATCTGAATTTGGTAGCAGGCCAAATTGACAAATACCATGCAGAAAAATGCATTTTAATTCCACAGCAGAGAAAGCTATGTAGTCTATGTAAGTAGGCCTAGGGGGAAAAATAATCGGTATTGGTACTGGTTATCGGCCAAATACGTTTTAACATATCGACATATCGGCCAAAAATCCAACATCGTACGTCCCTAGTAAGGACTTCAAAATCCAACATGGCATCCACATACACAGTGTTGACACAAGTGTTGATAACAGGAGTGATAAACGGTCTTTTGCACTTCTTGTCAGTTTGTTTTTCCATTTACCAGTCACTAATGTACTGATAATGTAGTGAACATGTTGCTGCAGTGTTTGAAAGCATTAAATGCATAAAATGACATTGCTCGGGGTTTGTATTACTAGTAGTAAGCCTGATGGCTTGCAACGGGCAAATTCCACAGTCTTTCTGACTTTTTTCCAACAGGAATACAATTTGGGTGTGACATCATTCCCAGATCCAAGTTCCAACTTAAGAGGTAAATGGAACACAGCAAATGTAACAAGAAACCTTTTTTGTTTTTGTTTCACAATTTTTTTCCCCCATTTCATTTTATTGTAGAGCATTTGTACAACTTAAGGTTTTTTGCTCAGGTAGTTTGAGGGGATCCAGCCCTCAACTTCTTCTCCTACATTTTTACAGAACCACCAACCACTGTTGTTTTTTTCAAGAACCTCAAACACTGTACCCACCTTGAAGCTAGATGTCTGCTCATCCCCTTCAAAGTCTGCCACAGCTAGATAGAGCTCATCCTTACTTGAATCTTTGATTAAAGGTGGAAGCTTGTCTTTTGGTGGTCCAGGCTTCTCGCTTTTCAGCTGGGGCTTGGGAGGAATTGGAGCTTTATTCACTCTGGACTCCTCTTTCTCTTTGCTTGAAGGTGGCTGAACAAACCCTTTAGGTTTTGGGGGAGGAGGTCGGCTGAGTTGTGGTGGTCCAGGCTTGGTGATTTCCTGGGATTCTTTAAGGGAAGGTGTGTTGTGTTGTGTTGGGCTTGATGGATCGGTTTTCTTTGGAGGAGGTGGTCTTTTCGGCGCTAAGGTAGGAGGTCTCTGAGGTGGTTCTTTGTGGGGAGGTACTGCTGGTTTTATAAGGGGTGATGACCTTTCTTGGCTAAGGCCATTTGTGTGTTTTGGGGGGAGTTTTGGCTCTTTAGAGTGCTTAACATTATTGATAGAAGGAACATGAATAGGTGAGGAGCTAGGGGACAAACATTGGTCAGAATTATTTCCTGTTGCTGGAATATCATTCTGAGGGTTCGCCTCAGCTGACGCAGAACTCAGATCGGCAGGTTTGGATGGTCTTAACTTGCTTCTCAGATTGGTGATGTCCACTTTGTTGTCATCTGCTGGTGGATCTGGTTTGGCAGCTGTGATAGGTTTAGGTCTGATCAATGGCTTGGGCTTCATGAATGGTGGGGGGGAAGATGCTTCTGGTTTGTCCTCCCTAACTTCTGATTTAGGTTTCGGTGGCTGTTTGGGAACAGGTTTTAGATTAAACTTCTTCACCTCTTTGGCAGAAACCTTGTGACCACATTCAAGACCCATTTCATTCCGAAGGGGAAGAGCTTTGCTCTTATCCTCTTTCTTGATCTCCGGTGGTTTGTCTGGTTTGAAGGGGGGTGTTTTGGTTCCAGCAATAGGCATGATGACCCCTGGTGCAGGGGGTTTTGGAGGCAAAACTTTGGAATGATCAGATTTTGGTTTCTCTGCCACCTCTAACTCGAAACTCTTGTTGATAGACTCCCTTCGAGGTGGCAGGGCTGGTTTCTCCTCAGCTGGAGGGGCTGCTGGGGCTGGTGGCAATGGCCCAGAGAAGGCAGAAATCCCCTTGGTGGCACTGGACTTCCAGTCTCTAAGCTTAGGCCGGGCAAAGGACTCGGTGGCTGTACTTGGCTCATCTGGTAAAGGCTTGGACCACATGTCATCAACATTCGAGGAATCACCATCCTCCAACCTCAATTTTTCCATCTCATTGGGTAATGGAGCCAGGAAATTGGGTCGCAAGGCATTACTGGTCTTCTTGTACTTATCAATAAAGGTGGCAGGTGCCCAGCCCTCTTTGTCATCTATTTGGATATACCACCAACCGCTTGCATTCTTCTCAATCACCTAATAGAGCAAACAAACATTTTTAGACATATGAAACTGATACAGTGTAAATACTATAATGTAAAATTGTTATTAAAATGAATATACTATTATCTTATAAATACTGTTTCTGTTGTTGTAAAATTGGTTTAGGCCACATCAGACTTACCTCCACTTTGATACTAGCATGGAAGCTAATACCATCAGGGATGGTGGTCTGAAAGTCTGCTATGGTGTAATATTCTTCCTCAACTTGAGGAGGAACAGGTGGTTTGGGTAAGTTTGTACCACGTGGCTGAAACACAAACGTTAATTTTTTCAATTTTTTTTTAATCAACCTAAGGGAAATTTTTTTGAAGCACATAATTAGTGATGTTAACATCTTACGATGGTAAGGTCTCTGCGAGGAGGAGGTCTATGTCTTAATGCCACCTCTGTGAATGGAAAAATGTGTGAGAGTGGCCCAAAAAAAATCCCCTTAAAACGTCTAATGGTGCGCAACAAAGTGAGCATTTTCATTTACTTTTGAATAGTCTTGGTTGATAAAACAATAAAAATGTAGCCTGAATAACATTTATGTTAAAACAATGAAGTATTTGTCAAATGTATGAAAGCTGTTCATATAGTTAGGACACAAATTCAAAAGCTGCTTCTTCAATTAAATTTACTTACTTGTGTTTTCAGAGAAAAGAGGAAGTTTATTTTCTTTCTGGCTGTCTCGGTTATCCTTCGCTGCATTATTTTGCTGGTTCTGTCTGGAAAAAGCTTCCAGGTCATTTGTACTGGAGTGAGCAGCAGTACCTGCTGACTGCTGCAGGCTTTGAATATCAGCCTTCTTTAGGTAGGAAGCTGGGGCCCATCCCTCACGGCCCTGGTACCTGAATGGATGGGATACATACTGTAGATTAAGTGGCTTCAACAATGATTCATCAAACAACACAAAGATATCATCAATATGTCTATTTAGATTTATTGTTTATATAAATACTGTGCAGCACTTTCAGTTTTTTGTGGACGTTTAAGTATAAACTTATGTAAAAGTTTGTTTTTAATGGAGAAACAAAATAAACACTACTCAGTGTTTCCCCTACTATTATACAAGTGGGGTGCCCCTCCCTGTCAACATAACCGAGCACCTCATCTACTGAACCACGCACCCCCCACTAACCACCTGTCAGCACTGACGTGACACTAACCTAGCGGCTCGTAATACAAGTGCACTAGCTAGAAGGCTAAAGGCAGCCTCTTCCCTCACGCTGAACCCCACCCAGTCATACTGTCTGTACAAACACAAATGGCGCATGGCTCAGATATGCCTCTGCCCCCCCCCCCCCCCCCAAAAAAAAATGTTGGTATAAACAGCGCACTGTGCAGCTCAGGATGTCTCCGTCTGTCTCTTCCCCACTCCCCCCTGACAAAAACCACAGACGAGATGAGTGCCCCACCATGGCAAGTTCTCTAGGGAGAAGATACTGGTATATATTTTTACACACCAAAAACACTAAATGGTCATTAGGTGTGAGTTAGAGTGCGAATATTTATCTTGTCTCATTTGCCTCTGTGTGGCATTGTGATGGACTGGCGACTCTAGGGTGCACCCTACTACTCTTCGGATTTTAGCTTAGGGCTCTGGAAGGCTGCGAGAAGACCAGATTTTTCAAAGCTGTTTTTCCATCACAGTTTCTTATGAGTATTTTCTTAATCTTGCTATCCAATAAATTTTGACTGACTGGTTGGAACCCTGCAAAGGGAGACTGCATTTTTCCTATTGGTAATGTTGAAAAACCTTGTCTTTTTGCTTCCAAATTGTTCTCGTCAATACTTCAGTAGAGTCTCCGTGTGTTATATTATAGTCATAAAAACGTGTGTGTGTGTGTGTGTGTGGGGGGGGGGGGGGCGCTGAACTGGCCCTTTCTTCATATCTGTATGTTGTGCTGATCTCGAATCAGCACTGATAATAAATAACATGAAGAAGAAAAACAGACTTTTTTTTTACTGGAATAAATGCATTTTAAAACCCTTTTAGATTATTTTTTTGTTCTAGTAAGACGGTCATTAAAATGACTAGAGATATGCATTTTAAATTTATCATGCAAATTTAGCAGATGCATGTTAGTACTTAAACCAGTCAAAATGTTTTTTAGGTCATTATACAGTAGTCCCTTGTTTATCGCGGGGGATCCATACCCTGAAGCTCCACGATAAGAGTACAGCATGTCATGAAATCAGCTCTCTGCCTCCTATGCTCTCTACCACCTGCCAGCGCTCTCGGTCACGCCCACTTCTCAGCGATATGACACGCTGCAGGAGGAAGCTTCTCCTGCAGCTGTGGGCTGCACACAGGTGCAGCAGGTGCTAAATAATTTAAAATTAATTTTAAATAAAAATTCCATGCCAATCATGCGGCTCATCCATCAATCAGCCAATTGTGTCATGTCCAGTCTTACTTAGAAAAACCGCTAAGTAGTGAGAGACTACTTTACTTCATTATGCACCACTATTTCATTAAATATATATTACAATGGAGAATGTCACAGCTTACCTGATCTTCCACCAGCCTTCCAAATTCTTCTGAATGACCTCGACAATCATTCCCCTCTCAAGATCAATCTCATCCTGATCCCTGGCAGTGTACTGGTAAATCACGGAATACTTCTCTTCTAGATTTAGAACAAAAACAGATATTTTAGACAAAATAATGCAACGTGTAATTTATTGTATATGAGGACAGAACACAAATATGGTTATTAGGTAAAAGCTTGGAGGAAAACAACATATTTAACAAACTTGGCTTTATCAACCTAATGCTAAGGAGGCAACAAAATAAATCCCATTTAAACTCTCTCTTTATGATTGAGGACACTGTATGAGCAAGTTTGTCTAAACTCATCTAACTTATTTAATAAGGCAAGGGGTGAGCAGCATCTTGTGGAATGGAGAAACAAATGCACAACACAAAACAAACAAAGGTCTTCCAAAATGCTGATTACAAAGGGACACATTTGTTACAGAAGCAATGCATTATTTCTACTAATACATTGTACATACTACACACAGCCATAATATTACTATAGTCAGTATACAATAAGAGTTTTACTAGATAATTAAAATGGTTATTTTTATTATTCATCGTACACAAAAATTGCCTTTTTTTTTTTTACATTAGTCCACTGTCATTGCATGCATGGGATTTTATTTACATGCCTGGATCCCTCATGCAACATCCAAACAGATGCATAAACGAGCATTTACACTGTTGTGTATGCATAATCACACACAAACACAATCAAAATAGGAAGGGAAAAGAAAGGCGTGCGCTCCACCTTGCCCAAAGCCTGTGCTGAATAGATCTCCTAAAGTTCTGCGACGACCCACGTGCCTTGGCAGTGACCAGAACCTCCGAGGTACTGACATCCCAGCACAGTAAGTGGGGCAAAATAGGAAGTGAGTATTACAAGTATGTTGTCTGAATGATGTTTTTAACTTCAATAAAAGCACAATCAGAACAGACAGATCTATTAATTTAGTTTTTCTTTCACTCTTTTATCAGCAACTGCTTCTTATTGTGTACAAGTTTATACTTTTATAATTTAAAATAAGACTCAATACAATGTAGTTTGAACCATTTACATTTTTTTCAATGAGATTTGATCATTTTTAAGCTAATGTACAATTTTTAACTGTGGGTTGCTCCTTTCCCATGCTGCTGCAGCAGAAGGCTGAAATGTACTGCAGAGCATCTTTAATGTGTTAAGGCTCCAGTATACTTGGGTGTACGTCAGTCCGCGGAGCTCCGAACGTACAGGTTTAGAGTTGCAGCGGACGCACGCAGAGCATGTCCATGCGAAGCTCAATTTTTACGACTGTGTATTCTGTGTCGCACAATAAACTGCCCAGCAACGGACTGTTTTGTATGCAACACCAATGTATAAAATTCCCCTTCTTCATCTCTGATCTGGTTTAATGGCTTATTCTTTGTTTTTTTTGTCAAAAGGCATGAGATCTCTTCTTCCTCCTCCTCCATTGACTCTATGACTGAAATGATGAGAAATGAAGGAATTTGTCATGAGGAAATTAAAATAAAGGTCCAGCGTGGCTGTGGGAGGGTCTGGACATTTTCTGGTGGGCCGGTCTGATGTGTGGGCTGCAGGGCCAGCGCTCCTTGTTTTTCTTTATTTTTTAGAACTTTTTATCAACAAAATATAAACACAGAACACAGCTGGGGCTGCCAGCTCTTACTTTTTTTTTTGCAACCTGTCAATCAATTCAGTAGGCGTGTCAGCAAATAACCAATGGGCAACCTCAATTTGTCCCAAAGGTAAACGTTCCTTGCCTGCGGAGCTGACTGCAGCCGCTCAGGGTAGACGCTCGAGTATGAAGTCTCAACCCTCTGCGGACAGTGCACATCGAGTCCGCATGGAAAAAGGTCTGCGCGAGTACACTGGAGCCTTTAGTGAGAAATGTTGTGCCTACATCAACAGTTTTCAGCATTTCAGGAGTGGTTCACTTCTTTTCCTCTCTTCTTTTGGCTGCTCCCTTCTTCAGGGGTTGCCACAGCGAACCAACTCAGACAAAGACTTGACAATTCTTTTTATGCGAGACACCTTTCCTGATACAACCACAGACCACCTAGCTACCACAGCCCTCTGTGCTGAGCATAGAGCTGCCATCTAGGGTGCTCATAGGAGCAGGTGGGGGTTTAAGAGCTTCACACAATTACCCAGATTGGGGCAAATGAGGGTGGAGGCAGGTGTGGGGTTTTCACCTTTCCCACCCACATTTTGATGTTGTCTGTCCTGGGAGTTGAACCGGTGACTTTCCGATCACAGGCTCACATTATCTACTTTCTGCGCCACCACTCCACAAGTGGCTTACTTTAAACCTAGCTAAACCATCAAGCACAGAATAAACACACAACCTGCTGAGGACATTTTTTTTTTCAAAGAAATCCTTTTTAAAAAGTTCCTTCCCATCAGTCTTTGCTGTAACATCTGTTAATAATGACTGAATGTACATTGAATTCTCCCAATAACTGTCGGTAAATCAATGACGACGTATCAATCACCTTAAAATGCAGAGAATTAGCCATCATTTTACGGTCAACATTAACTGCAACACCATAATGATTCAGCTACGTGTTTACACTTGAGAAAAATAACGCTGGTGACCAGTTTGTTTCTGGTTTATTTCATTTGTTAATTTACAAATAAACTGTTTTCTACCTGAGTCCAATAAACATGAACCTGTCAGTGTTTGTGGATGCTGCACAATGGTGGCTGTTCCCACAATGTTCAGTTATACAGAACATATTTTTTCCAGCTTAAAAAAATACTGTAATATTTAATTAACTGCTTTTAAATAAATGTCTTATAATTTGATTTGTAATTTGTATGCTGGCTGGCTACTTTTCTTAGTTTAAACTAAACTATTTAATTTAAACTAAAATTTCATTGTTCAGTATTCAAGTGTTTTTAACAGAAAATCAATTTTCTATTTCTATTTTTGCAGGCATCATACAACTTTCTATGCACATTTATCAACTTACATAGGCATAGTTTTCCTCTTATCGTTTACATTTTAATTTGGAACAATGAAAAACAGGTCATCACAATTACAAAAATGAACAGTTTAACCCTCACTTGTGCTCGTCATTTTTAACAGATCTGAAAAAAATGGACTTATAGCATTGAGAAGAGTGTCTTTGTGGGACTGTTAAAACTTGTAAAAAGCAATTCTACCTTCTTCTCCTGGAAGAGTGAAGTCATCAGGGTCATCCTGTACCTCAAGGCAAGTGGCAGGGACCCAACCCTGAGCATCTTCGGAGCTCACAAACCACCACCCTAAATGACCAGAATACAAGGTGACTTGAGAATTCAATGTAGATGCCATCGCATTTAGATAACTGTGACATTAAGCGCCAACAGAAATACATTTAAAAATGACATATTATTATAGCTGACCTATGATAACCTTCCTTAAAGTTTGAAATGACATTAAACATTATGACAATATGAATACAAACGTATAGCACTTGCCAGATTCACTTTTCTCAATGACCTCCACAACTTGACCCACGTGCAGGCTGATCTCAGTGCTCTCCTGCTTCTCATAGTCTGTCACTGCCACATATTGTTCGAGGAGGAGAGGATCAGCAGAGGTGGAATCTCCTAGTGAAACGATTGAGGAAAAAAAAAAGTTGTTTCTTACTCGAAACTTTCTTAGGAAAGACGAGAGCGGAATCTCACCAGTGAACAAGCCTTCACTCTGTGTCTTTCTCAGGATCTTTGGTAATATTAGCCGATGTGGTATTAACTTTGAATGATAAGATTGCCCCGGCGTTGACATTTAAAGGTTTTGTACCTCAATAACCAAATATAAAATGACCTTTTAAAAATGCCAGATTTTATGTGCTCTTTAAGGAATTCTACTAAAAACTACACTTCCGAATGTTTAATATATATCAAACAGCCCATCTATGAAAAGCAGCAAAGTTCTAGTCTTTACTTTAAAAAAAATTACCTAAAACATTCAGAGTTCATCCTTTAGGCACAAAAATCTTTATTAGGTAAAAAGAGCGAAGGCTTATCTGCAATATGACCAAGACATGAGACTGAGCTGTTAATGTTGGGGATTGGAAACATGTCAAGGGGGAAATAATGAGCCAATTGGGGAGCAGAGGGATAAATGGAGAGTAAAGAGAATGATTTCAGAAAGGTGTTAATATAATCACAAACATGGACATGATTTCACCATAGACAACCAAGACCCACCACCGTTAGCAACAAAACAGTGGGAGAAGAAAAAAAAACCTCTTTAAAAAAAGGAAGGCTCACTTACCAACCACATGTTAATGCTTGATGGTATAAACGCAGACTAAATAAATTAACGTATAGCAAAAGTGGCAGCACGGTGGCAAAGGTGATAGAGCTGTCGCCTTTCAGTGAGAAGGTCACTGGACCAAATCCCAGCCGGGGATCTTTATGGGTGAAGTTTGCATGTTCTCTCTGTGCATGCATTGGTTTTCTCCAGGTACTCCGGTTTTCTCGTACCAACCAAAAACATGCACGTTAGGCTGATTGGTAACTCTAAATTCTCCCTAGGTGTGAGTGAGAGTGAATGGCTGTCTCTTTGTGCCCCTGTGATGGACTTGTGACCTGTCCAGGGTGTCCCTTGCCTCTCAGAGACTGCTGGATATGAGCACCAGTGACCCAAAAAGAAAGAAGTGGGTAAACATAATGGATGGATAGATGGATGGATGGATATAGCAAAAGTTGCAACACTGTGCACATGTTAAGTTGAAGCCTGTCAAATATAGCACAAGTCAAAACAGCTGTCAATCTAAAGCCCTTTGAGTAAAAAAAAATATTAGTCAAACGGATACAGAAAATTAGCTAGAAAAGTAGCTAACCTGTCTTAAATATGTTAGCTGCATGGCAAAACAGCATGAATGTGCCATAAATGCATTCTAAATCATTAGAACAGAATTAGAGAGCATTAACATGAGTTTGGTACTGTAGTAATTTGTATGTCTCCAAGACGGTTGAGATTTCAGAGATATTTGAGATTTTTTTTTATTTTTATTCCCCTCAACCAGATTATATTTGATGTTGAAGCATGACAAAACTAAACTACAATCCCCCTCGTACACTTTTACTATGTTTGACTTGGACTCAAAGAAAGCCCAAAGCCTTCAAGTCCAGTCCAGAATTTTTGGGGAAAAAAAAGCGCAACAGACCACCAGCGACCCACCGGGTTACACACACAGCACGACAAAGCATGACAGTGCGTTTACTACCTCGCTTTATGAAAGTAGCCGCTCTCTCCACAAACCCTGATGAAAAGGAAAATGAATGGAGAAGAAAACTGAAAAAAAATAACATGGTCGCAATTTCAGAACACTTGGGTGAACTTAGAGCTAGACACGTATGTAATGAAGGAGGAGAACAACATGTTTAAGTTTTTTTTTCCTTATCAGCCCTCTGATAAGATAAGCTTCAGCAAAATAGTCATTACTGAACAGATTTTATTTGAGAAAAAAAAAAGTTCAAAGGAAGTATTTTTATTTTATTTTATTTTATATATTTAAACCACTAGATGGAGATAAAGCTATACCATGACTTCAGAGGAATAGTAAACAAGAAGTATATTAAACATACAGTACACATTTCTTTCTTTTTCTCCAACCTCCACCCATAAACAAACAAGCATTGCTAACACACAAACATAACTCTTACCAGTTTTCTTCTTTCCAATAGGTTCCCTGTTAAAGAAAGCAAAACATGTGAAAACATTAACATTGAAGAAAAATAAATCTAATGTTTCACATGCATTTTTATTACCATCATGTAGCACACAATTTCCATTTTGAACCATCCGTTAATTTGTATTTTCAGAATTTACGACAAAAATTTTAGATACAAATCGCGCAAATCATTAAAAATATTAAAACAACCCAAAGGTTTACATTATATTATCTTAACCTTTTACAAGTGTTGCTGTTCAACGAACACATCCGAGGATAACTATCTGCTTCCATCTACAGTCGAGGCTGACGTGAGTAAACTGTCTCTCACAAAAACTTGGCTCCATCTTGAATTCAATACAGCGTCTGCTGTGTCTGGTTTCGACATTAGCCAGAGAAATCGCCCATCGCTCCACAGCTGCAGTCAGGAGATGATTCAACAACCAGATGCTTCAGAAAAATCGTTTGTGGCTAAAGCTAGGCATTTTTCTCTCTCGATCCCTCCTCTCCGTTATCTGAATATTTCTGCCTCGCAATTTGGCCTTCCTTGGTGTTTCTTTTTTCTAGCTCACATCTTCCACGTTTGCTAAACTCACCTTTGTGTCTCTTGATTATTTTTCTTGGCATCTACTCCTTATCAGTTTCCCTGAATGCTCTCACTTTCATAAAACATTGTTTGATGGGTAGAAATGTCAACTGCAGACCTAAATCTCAATAAATCTGAGCATATAAGCCTCCCCATTGTACTAAAAAGAAGTATCAGGGAAAGCTAAAGCTGTACTAATAATCCTGATCATTATGGAAGAACATGCATAGCATACAAATATACCCTTTTAATTTCCTCCTTGCGGTGGTGAGCTCAGCTGAGGACACAGTCTGTATCTTTGCCTTGGCAGGAACATTTTTTAGCTTGTTTTGTGCGTGCTGGGGTGAGTCTCTTCCTTAAGTGAGAATTTGAAGTATCTGGGAGTCTTGCTCATGAGTGATTGTAGGATAAAGCAAGAGATGGATCATTGGATTGGGACCTTATCCACAGTAATGAGAAGATTGCTCCAGTCTGTTGTAATGATGAATGAGCTGAGCCACAATGCAAAGGTCCTAATAAGCTGGTCTGTCTATAGTATGTTCCAACCATCACCTATGGTCATTACGTGTGGGTCACACGGCTGAAGATCCTACAAGATCTAATAAACAATAAACAAGATCCTACACTAAAATTAACTTCCACTGTAGGGTGGCTAGGTTTTGCCTTAAGATAAAATAAGAAGCTACATCAACCGAAGGGCGATGATGTGAGAGTACATGCAAATTATTATTTTGTTGTAATAAAAAAAACAGTGCAAATTAGGATAAAATCTATCAAATACAGCCCTACAAGACAGCACAAAATCCCAAACTTGTGAAATGAAATCTCACGTTTTACACTTCCGCTAACACCTTATGGTATAGCACAGAAGACTTACTGCACCGATGTATGCAATTAGTGAAATCCTAACCCACCGCAAACCATCTTGCTTCGTTGCACGTTGGATGCTAGCACCTTTTTTCTTACAGTCAGTAATAACTCACCTTGATTCACCAATTAATTATCTTTTCTTCCGTACAATCCCCCAGTTTTGACTTTTCCTTTTCTAGTTTCATTCTTGTCACACATCCTTTTTACCCCTCCAGATTTCCCCTTTTGTCTAATCTTTTCTGGCTTTGTGAGCATCTACTTCCTCTTTAAAATCAAGTTCTCCTGTTCTTCTCCTCTTCACGGCTCTTAAGAAAAAGTCTACCATGTCCCTGTCAATGCAGAGGATTTACAAGGCATGATAAATCTGCTTCCACATTGGCTGCTGCATCTGTGCACCATGCTTGTTGTCAGTCAGCCAAACAATGGGCTGCACTAATGGAAAGCAGCAATCCAATTTCAATACAGACAAACCAAGGTCTTTCCTATTTTTACCCCCCTAAAGTAAATGGCCCACCCTCCTCAGACTTGCCCCTCCTTTCAAATACTGTATTTTCTTGGCTATATGTCACTCCGGACTATAGGTTGCATCAGTCAAAAAATGCTTCATGAAGAGTAAAAAAAAAACATATATAAGTCGCTTCAGAGTATGAATCACATTTATTATGTGTCGCCGCTGACCCCTTGCGCCCGGTAAACGTGGGCCGTTCCCGTCGTGGGTGGCACAGTCAGGTCGCACTGAGAACAGTCCGTCCCGATCTGCAGCCATGCTGGGGCGAGGGGGCCCGGTCCCTCCACCACCAGAGCAGGGAGGAAGGGCGCAGTGATGCAGCAAGGTGCAGGCGGTGTGATGCTGTAGAGCTCGCGGCCAGAGCCGTGAGCCACCTTCATCCCTGGACCCTTCCAGGCCGACCCAGAGCCGGTCGCAGCACATTGCCGCTGAGGAAATGCACCTTGCGGGAGCCAGCCAGACATGGGGGGATGGCCCCTGTGAGGGGGGATCCTCCGCTGCTGAGCAGTGGTCCCTTTCGCAGGGTTGAATCCCCCGGGCAGACTGGGGGGGTGGGATAGTGGTAGAGGAACAACATATAGTTGTCAAAAGCCTAAAGGGGCCCTCTCGCGGCTACAAATGGTAATGTTTACTGTACTTTTCGGACTATAAGGCAAACTTAAAATCCTTTAATTTTCTCAAAAATTGACAGTGAGCCTTATAATCAGATGCACTTTATGTATTAATTCTGATTGCGTTTACTGACCTCGAACTTAGAGACGTTAAAAATTGTGCCGTTGAAGTTGTGGACTATTTACCATTTACATTTTAATATGCATTAAAATGCATTAAAACATTGTTTATGTAAAATACATAGGCCATTTTAATTTGTAAATTTGTATTTTTGTCTGTACTATATTTCAGTTTCACAGTATATTGAATAAACATAATTATGTGTCGCATTGCTGTCTTTTGAATCATAATCAAATCGAATTAGGAGGTGTCTAAAGAACTCAAGTGTATATTGGCTCATTTTAAATATTAGCACAGGGATGCTCTTCTCAGCTACCTTAACATCAACGTACAATACTTTGTTCAATGTTCTCTTGTTAGAACTAATCAGCCTCAAATGTTTATTTGCTCTGCTACTTTCTCATCTGCAAAGCTTTTCTTCTGTTCCTCTTGCTTAAGTATGTCAGATGTGAAGTAACCCCTCAGTCTCCTTTAACTATAATCATGTATTCTTTTAAAGAGCAAGCAGAAAGCAAAGTTCAAAGTGACTTCTATATTGACAACATGACAGGCTGATGCAAGTGTCCATTTTATTCTCATTGTTCTCCATTGCAGATCCTTTTGATTGTTCTTGGTTAACATCTCCCAGATATGTACTCAGTGCAAGTAATTCCAGATTAATCATAATATCATAAAGAAAAACTGAATGTAATATTTGAGATACCTTTGGCAGGATTTTATAATTCAATTTCAGAATGTTATGCTTTAAGTTGTCGAGTAAAACATGCATGTTATCCTCATAGCATGCATCAGCAAACATCTTTAAAAATGTAAAAGAGATTATTTAAAATTCTAAATTAAAATAAATTAAACCTTTTTTTTTTATAGTGCCCAAGTAAATAGGACACAATTATGTAAATAATATGCTGGTAGAATAGAGTAATAAGACATTAGGTTTAAAGTAAAGTTTTTAAAACTCAGTTATCGTATTTACCGGACTATGTTACACCTTTTCTTCATAGTTTGGCCAGTCCTGCGATGTATAGCCCAAAGCGACTTATTTACTTTTTTCCCTATTCATGACGCAATTTTTGACTGACGTGTTAAATGTTCATTCATACTGACATGAACCAAAGAGTAAACCTTACCATTTGTAACCACAAGAGGGCCCTCTAGGCTTTTGACAATTATGTGTTGTTCCTCTTCTGCTATAATGAACTGAAATGGTGAGAAATGAAGGAATTTGTCACAAGCGAATTAAACTCAGGTCCAGCGTGGTTGCGGGAGGGTCTGGAGATTTCCTGGTGGGCTGGTCTGATGTGTGGGCTGTAGAGCCAGTGCTCTGTTTTTTTTTTTGTTTTTTTTTTTAGATCTTTTTATTAACAACATATAAACACAGAACACCGCTGCGGCTGAGGCTGCAAGCGCTTGCTTTTTTTCCGACCTGTCAATCAATCCAGTAGGCGTGTCAGCAAATGACCAATCGGCAACCTCAATTTGTCCCGAAGGTAAACGCCCCTTGTTTGTGAAGCTGCTCTGCAGCTGCTCGGGGTGTATGCTGGAGTACAAAGTCTGAACCCTCTGTGTACAGTACACACGTACGTACGCGTGAACGGACGTACGCGGCAGTATACTGGAGCCTTTATACTCCAAAGTGGCATATGTTTTTTTTTTTCCTCTTCATGAGGCAGTTTTTGATTGACACGACCTATACTCCAGAGCGACGTATAGTCTGGAAAATACGGTATAATGTATGCATCGGTTCCAAGATTCGGTCTACAACTTAAAGATCCACTTTGTTTTATTTTTAAAATGCTGGGTCAATGTAGGTCACAAAACCTATGATGCAACACAGGGGGGCAAAATGTTTGTATGACCTCTTCTACCCGTGAAAAGACTGGAAACCTTAAGAAATAATTTTCAATTATGGCATGTGTGTTTCAGTACACATACACGTATGCTGAGTGGTAGTGTTCAGTGCACAATGGTGTCTTTGTTTTGGCACTTACTGTCAGCACTCAATATGTTGCTTCAATGTTGAGTAAGTTTAGAAGTAACACGAGAGCAGGTTTACAAGTGGTAAGAGCAACCTGCAGTCTCAGCTATCTGAACCTGAGCTGCAGCTACATGCTGAAAAGCAAACTCAGCACTTACAAAAGCATTAAACGTGTTTCTGCTTGAAAACAAAACAAAGGAAAAAAATATATAGGAGAGTGACATTAGAAGGTGTAATGAATGCTCATTACCAGCAGAATGGATGATAAATGCTGACAGGGCATGACATTGCCACAGGAGCATAAATTTGCCATTGAATGCTAGCCTGAAGTTTACAACATTTAAGAAAACAAGTGTATTTAATAGATCTTACTCTTTAGGTGGGTTGAGATCTTCAGGCCTAGTCTCAAAAAACACCCGGACCTCCTCGCACTGGGAGATGTAGACTGGCAGTTGGATCAAAGCCTGCAAACACAGAAAGCAGCAGGAAACTTGAAATAAGAACACTCACTTCTGAGAGTAACTCACGTGACCAGAGGCATTTAACTTCTTGTCTTAACATTAAAATAGGCACAGTAGAGGATGGATGGATGGATGGATGGATGGAACTTTATTGATCCCTTGGGAAGATTCCTTCAAGGAAGAATATTTGCTTTTAATCTTGTTTGGATTCCTTCAAGGAAATATTAACAATACATAATAATAATTATTATTATTATATCATAAAGTTTTTTTTTTCCCCTAATTACAAAAAATAAAAATATGAAAATTAGACAACTGTAAGCTTATCCATCCATCCATCCATCCATCCATCCATCCATCCATCCATCCA